ATTATTCCATCTGTGCGTGACCAACGGCCTGCCACGTGCTGGGGCGAGGTCTGCAGCTTCCAACCCAGCATCCGATGGGCAGGGGCCACCCAGCCCCACAGAACCCCACAGAGCCCCACAGAACCCCACGGTGCCCCATAGAGCCCCACAGTGCCCCACAGAGAGTGCACTTTCCCCACAGCTCACTGCAGGACACGCCGTGTGCTCCCCCAAACCCGCTGTGCCCAATGGGGCTGCAAACAGCAGCACCCGCAGTGCTCCCCGTCCCCGCTGCTGGTCCCCCGATGTCACCCGGGGCGGGTGCCGTGTCCTGGGTCCGTGGCCACTGTCCCCACGCAGGTTCCCCTGGCGCTGCTCCCCGGCACCGCTCCCCGTTATCTGACCTAGAAACAGCCCGCAGCTATCAATAGGGCCGGCGGGAGGGATCCAGGGGGCAGCTCCGCACCCGGGGAGCTGCTGCCGCTGGGGTGGCACCGGGAGGGGACGCGGGGACAGCCCCGGGGGGGCAGCTGGGGGCGGGGGGCGGGCGGTCAGGGCGCGGGGCCCGATCGTGCAGTGGCCCCTTCCACCCGGCGTGTCCCCGAGGTCCCCTCTGTGCCCACCCCATTGCCCATTCCGGCCGTTTTCTCCCCCAAAACGCTTCTCCCACTCTCAGCACCCACCCCGGGGGTGGGGGGGGCACCGGGCCGATGCGGGAAGGGGGTCACCATCCCCATCCCCATCCCCATCCCCATCCCCATCCCCATCCCCATCCCCATCCCCATCCCCATCCCCATCCCCATGCCCACCATCCCCAACCCGCTGCCCGGCGGCGACGGGACGCGACCGGGGCTGGGGACAAGGGGACACGCGTGGATGCCGGGGGGGGGGGGGTGGGAGGGGGCGCCCCCACCCGTGCCGCGCTCCCCGCGTGGATCACGGAGGCGGGGCCGGGGGCGGGGCGGCGGCGGCGCTGCCCGGCCGGGGGGGCTCCGGCGGCGAGGAGCTGGGGGGGGGGCGCCGCTCCCGGCTCCGGTTGCTCGGGATGAGCCCGGCGGAGCGGCCCCGAGCGGGGGGCTGAGGGCGGAGGCTGCCGGTGCCACCGAGGACGGAGGGGTCCGAGCCCCCCGGTAAGGCTCCGAGCTGGTCCCGGTGCGCTTCGGGGCCGGCCCCGGTGCGGCGGAGGGGAAGGGAGGAGCGGCGGAGCTCGGCTTTGTGCGGGCGGCGGAGCGGCCCTTTTGTCTGCACGGCGAGATCGGAGGGGAGGGGAAGGGGAAAAAGGATACGGGGGGAGAGGGGGGGGGAAGCGCCATTTCGAGAGGATCCCGATAAAAGGGATGATTATTGAAAAAAAAAACGAAAATCGGAAGAAAACCGGCGGCCCCCCGCTTCCCCCCCGGCTCTGTGTGTGTGTGTGTGTGTGTGCATGGGGGGCTCGGGGACAGCCCCCCCGCTCCCAGCCCGTGCCGGGGGTCGCCCCCTCCCCAGCCCCGCGCCCCCCGGTCCCCGCCCGGTCCCCGCCGCCACCTGCGCCGCAGCCCCCGCCCGGTGCGGCCCCAGCCCTGCGGCTGCCGGGGCCGGAGACGGAAGCGGCGTGAGCCCGAGCCGAGCGGAGTTTTGTGGCCGAGAGGGGCTGGGGAGGAGTGGGGAGGGTGCTGGGGGGTCGGGGAGGGTCCGGGGGGGCTCCGTCCTCGCCGCCCGGTGACACGCGGGGACGGCTCGAGGACACGAGGGGCGATCCGGGAGGCTGGGGGCGATGCGGCGGCACCGTGCCCAGAGTGGGGCTGGGGGCAGCGACCCCACAGCGGAGCGGGGACGGCAGCGAGCGGTGGGCAAGGTGGGCAAGGGCACCGGGGGCAGCCCCGAGTCCCCGCAGCATCCCCCTGGCAGCGGTGGGCGAGGGGAACGCGTCCCCACTGCCACCCACCCTGGGGCTGGCGAGCATCGGGTGCCCGGTGCCGTGTGCCGGGAGGCGAAGCCTCGACCCGTGGTGCTGAGCCCGCCAACCGGCAGGCATCCCGGCTCGCTGCGGCTCCAGCGGCCTCGCTCTGCCCTTCCCCAAAGGGCTGGGACATTTCGGGGCACAGCTGAAGGATTTGGTGACCCCACCTTGGCGACTTGTCCCTAGCGGTGGCACCCGGGGCGCTGGGGTGAGCGGGCCACGGGCGGCACCGGCTTGTGAGGGTCCAGCGTGGGGACACGGCCCCTCCGTGGGGACACAACCCCTCTGGAGTGGCCGTGGTGCTGGTTTTGGCACCGAGGTGGCAGGGATGCTGCCCCGAGGGTGGGAAGGGACGAGGCCGTGGCTGGCCCAGCCCCACGGGGACCAGGCAGGTGCCGCTCACGGTGTTTGTCTTTGCCGATCCCGAAGGCGCGGTGCTGCCGGCACTGGTGGAAGAGTTTCGGGAGGGAGATGCTGACAGGCTGATGAAACCAATCAAACAATGAAGTAATCATAAATCCCCGGTGCCAGCGGCAAGTCTGGGAGAAGGCGGGAGGAGCCGGAGGCAGAAGGAGCTGAGGTCCTAACAAAGCAATCCCCTTCAGCAGGAAAAATCCCGGGAAGGCAGCGCGCTGAAAGGCAGCCAAGGTCCTGTCGTCGGGCCGCGCTGTACGGAAGCGGTGCTGTGTCAAGTGCCGAGCTGGGAGACAAGGGCAGGGAAAATCCTCCCAGAAGCTCCAGGAGAGCAGCGTGGGGGGCTCCGAGGCTCCTCGGGGCACTGCTGGTCCCTCGGGAGGGCCGCGGGTGCCATTGGACAGAGCAGGGGCTGCTGGCGATGTGCTCTCCCCAAAATTTCTCAGAGGCCGCCTGTGCAACCTGGGTCATCCAAGGGCTGGAGAAGCTCATCACGGGCTGGGGTGGGAGATGGCTCCTGCTGCTGGGGTGCTGATGGGTGAAGCGGGGCCTGCCCCTGTCCCTGCCCCGCAGCTCAGAGGTCTCCACCAGGAGGAGGAGGGCAGTGCCCACGTGCCACGATCGCGCACTCTGCGGGGCGCTCACCGGCTCTGCCGAAGCCGATCCCTGGTTCAGGGCTGCTGCCGGGCACTGCCCCGGCCTGGGAGTGGAGGTGTGAGGAAATCCGGCCGGCTGGGGACGCGGTGCCACCGTGCAGAGAAATGTCACGGACCCGGGAGCTGGGATGGCACCGTTGCTTCGGTGGAGATCAGGGCAGCGTGGCACTGGCTGAGGCGTACGGCATGTGGCATCCAGCACCTCCCAGGGCTTTCCAGAGCTGCTTCAGGTCACCGCTGCGAGGGGTCAGGTCTCGATCCATGAGAAACGAGAGGACAAGGAGCTGTTGTCCCCGTCCATTGCCCTCGGGGTGCCAGTTGCTCCTCCCGGGTTGCGGGATGCTGGGCAGCTCCCAAAGTACTGCAGCGCTTGGGCAGCCCCGCTGTGGGTCCCGGCCAAGGCGCCCTCTCCCCGTGCACACTTAAGGCCCTGGCATCACTTGTGTGTGTGCTGGTGTCGGGCGGCCACCCCCAGCTGCTGCCTGCTGCCTTTTGGGCCAGCTTTTGGGGTTTCAGAAACCCCAAAACGGCAGCGATTCCCCCCATTTCCTGCGCAGGAAAAAGGAGGGACTGGAGCGGGGTCAGTAGCCGGGACATGGATGTTTTCCCCCTGTGCTCACGGCCGTCTGGCTGCACCCACGTGGGTCTTGCCCTGCAACGCCACCGACCCTGGCAAAAAAACACCCCGAGCGTCCCATCCCCTGCACAATGCCCTCCCGCAGAGACGTCGGCCTCGTTAGGCCAAGGTGCCCTTGCCGATGTCCCCGGATGCCGGTGTCCCGGTGCCCAGGGGAAACGCAGCTAATAACGCTGCTGTGCCTGGTGCCTGTCCCCACGGCCCCGACGAGCCGCGAGGAGCTGACATGTTCCCGTAATGGGGTCAGATGAGAACGGAGCCGAGAGGCGGCGGAGGCTGGAAATGGAGCGGCACGCTGAGAGCCTGCGGCTCGGCCCCGGCTGCTGCCGGCCGTGGCGTGGGCATCGCCAGGGCGGTGCGGGACGCGGGGACGGCCCTGGTGGGGCTGCACCTGGGCACAGGTGAGCTCTGTTGTCCCCTTGCTCCTCGCTGCCGGTAGAGCCCCGGTTTTCTCATGCTTGCCCTCGGTGCCTGGGGCTGAACTGCAGGGCTGAGCATCCAGAGGTGCTGCATGGATCGTCCCCGAGTGTCCTGCGGTGACTCCTCCAGCAAAGTCGCGGTGTGGCATGTGGCAGGTCGGCTGCCAGCTCAGCCCGTAGCATCCTTCCCCCCATAATGGGCTCAGGAAGGGCTCCTGGTGCTTGAACGTGTGCAGAGCAGCGTGCAGAGCTCCTCGCGGGATGCGGGCCAGGAGGGGAGACCTCATCCCACCCCGGGGCTGTGTCACAGCCCTGGTCCCCCTGTCCCCACACCTGGATGGGAACGAGGGCCGGTGCCTGCTCGGTGCCAGGGGGACCCCGCTCACCGTGGGAGCAGAACCGGGACACCTGGGGCCGATGCTGGCCCCTGGCGCATTGTGTGGCCGCGGGAAGTCGCTTCCTTGCTTTGTGCCTCAGTTTCCTCCGGCTGGGACGCGGGGACGCCTGCCCGCTGCTGGGTGCTTCGTGTTCCTTGCTAAAAGGGAAATCTGCGTCCTGCAGAGCCCCGAGCCCTGCCCTGTGGGCTTCTTCCCAAACCCCCAGCACCAAATCCTGCTCCTAAAGCCGGGCTGGTTTTCTGACCCGCCCCTCTCCGATGTGGCCGGAGGGATTTTTTTATCCCTTCCCCTCTCCATTTCCAAGCAGCCACCGCTCCGGCAGCCGCCTCTCCCTGCCCCTGCTCCTCTCAATGAGCTCTTAATGAGTTGCCAATTACTTATTGGCAGAGCTGATGCGCCCAGGGCTCGGCACTCGGCCGAGTGGCTCGTGCAGCATCGCGCCTGCAGCGGGTGGCACTGGGGCCTCGGCGGGCGATGGGGACTGGGTGGATGCTGGGGACCAGAGAGCAGGGGAGGCTCCGGGAGAGGAGAGGAGAGAGGAGAGAGGAGAGAGGAGAGAGGAGAGAGGAGAGACAGCTGCCGCCGGGAGACGAGCGCCTGCCTATAAATACATGCCATGGAGCGAGGAAGCAGTGGGTGGATTATCCTCCTCGCTCAATGAGATAAATGGTTCTCAAGCTTAAACACAGAACAATTTTAGTCTGAATAGTAGGAGAAACGGTTCAGGACACGCAGATGACGGTGCAAGCTGCCTGCAGCGGGCAGTGGGGACCGGTGGCACCTGGCGGTGGCTTTGCTGCCCATTGGGTGTCACCCCTGGGCTCGTGTCCTGGTGGTGGCTGCTCGGGACACGGCGGTATGCCGGCGTTCCCCGCATGGGGCAGAGCTTCCCCAGCAGCTCCCCAAAATTCAGGTGGGGACGGGTGTCCCGCGGTCCTCGTGACTGCGCAGAGCCAGATGGAAGCGTCCTCGTCCCTGTCCTGCTGCTGCCTTTGCTGTTTACATAGGAACCAGCATGTTTTCAAAGCATTTCAATTTTTAATGAAAACTTCTGTGTTTCCTTTTTTTTTTTTTTTTCCTGGGCGTGTTGGTGTTTCGGCCGCCGCCGCTGCTGGATTTTCTCGGGGATGGCAGTGGCTCCGTGCTCCCATCCAACCTGCTGGCACTTCGGGGAGGACAGCGGCCGAGCTGGGGGTGTTGCAAGCAGCAGCCCCATCCCCAGGGACTCCCTTCTCGGGACACGTCCCTCCTTGGGGACACCCATTTCTGAGGGCCACGTCTCTGTGGCAGGTCAGGAGGGAGCTTTCTGCAGCACGGCCTCAAAAACCCATCAGGCAGGAGAGGACCAAAGGCCCAGATTAAGGAAAAGCAAGCAGTCCTTGACTTGGAGAGCTGCTCAGCAGTAGCAGTCCTTCATCTCATATCCCACAGGCATTTTTTTTTAATAAAAAAACCAACTTTGCCGACTTGAATAATTGTATTTCAACACAGGTTAATTAACAGACATTGACAAGCTGGACTGTAAATTCAAGTGCAGCCATCATTCTTCTTGTAGGGTATTGCGAGCTGTTTTTAGTCCTGCTGCATCCATTTAGCTCCTGCACTAACCCACCTCCACCTCCAGCAACCAGACACTGAGATGGTGCTCCTCTTCCACAAGGCCAATAAAGCACTATGGAGATGAGCTGCTTTGGAGATCTTATGAGTCAAGCCGTTACATTTTTGGAACATCATGATGTTTAAGTTCCTTTTCTATTTTTTGCCCAACTTCCCAGGAAAGAAAAAAAAAAGAAAAACTGGAATGAGAGGCAGCACGGCCGTAGTTTAAAGAAACAAAGGCGAGTTTGGAGATCGGGTTCAGCCTCAGCAGACAAGCAGGTCCCCGTGCATCGGGCAGGGCAGGGCCAGGACCGTCCCCGTGCATCTCCGCTCCCCTCTCCTCCCAGGTTTGCTCCTTGATGCCCTTCATCCACCTCCTCTCTGCCAGCTCCGTTGCTCCCCCTCAGTCTCCTGTGGGGCCATGGCACAAGGCTCAGCCCCGGTCCTGGGACCCAGGGGTGCCGCTTGTCCCGGAGGCGCTGGAATTAATTCTGAGTGTTTTTTTTTTCTTTTTTTTTTTTGCCGCATTAAAAATCTAAATATATACCCGCGCCCGCTCAGCTGCTATCCCATGATTTTTGTCAATCTGCTACAAAACAAACGCAGCCGGCTTCTTCCGCCAAGGTCCCCCCTGTGCAGCCGTCCTGGGGGTGTCCAGCATCCACGGGCCGGGTCGAGCCGGGCGCTGTGCCGGGCCGGTCGGGGAGTGGTGCCGGGTTCGTGGTTTTGGGGACGAAGGAGGGCAGCGCTCGCTGAAGATGCTCAGAGGGTGGTTTGGCTGCGGTGTGGTGGTGAGTGGGAGCTCAGCTCCTGGTGTGCCGTATGGAGGCTCTGCTGGTTGTGGGGGCTTTTTGGGGTCCTGGGGCATCTCCCTGGGTGTGCTGAGCTCTCGAGGGATGCTCTGCGCGGGCAGAGCGGGGTTAGGGGACGGGGCTGGCTCCCGTTGTCCTCATGGGCCAAAGCCATGACGCGCATCTGCCTTGCAGCACAGCCATGAGTGCCGGGTCGATTGAGCAGGAGCCGTCGCGCAAGCTGGCCTGCTGCGGGGTGCCGCTCATCACCGAAGACATGCAGTCCCTGGCCATCCGCACCCTCTCGGGCACCGACATCAACAAGCACTACGACCTCATCCGTGAGCTCGGCAAGGGCACCTACGGCAAGGTGGACCTGGTGTCCCACAAAAGCACAGGTGAGGGGAGCGGGGTGGGCAGCGAGCAGGGGGAAGCCCCCGTGCGTGGCTGAGCTCGGGAATGTGGTCACTGGGCACACAGCGCTGCTGCCAGCCATGCCCTGTGCTCAGCCAGCCCTCTGCCCGCTGCAGGCACCAAGATGGCCCTGAAGTTTGTCAACAAGAGCAAGACGAAGCTGAAAAACTTCCTGCGGGAGTTCAGCATCACCAACACGCTCTCCTCCAGCCCCTTCATCATCAAGGTCTTTGACGTGGTCTTCGAGACTGAGGACTGCTACGTCTTTGCTCAGGAGTACGCCCCGGGCGGGGACCTCTTCGACATCATCCCCCCGCAGGTGGGAGCCGCAGCGGGGTGCTGGGGTGGGGGGCGCGAGGGCTCGGTGTCCCCAGGATGCTGGGCAAAGCCACCGACCCGACTCGCACTTCACCATGGTGCAAGGTGGGGCTCCCGGTGCCTGTGGAGCTGTTTGGAGCCTGACATGTGGGGACCAGGCACATCCACCTGGGGCAGTCCCGCTGGCAGCAGTGCCAACACCAAAGTAGTGCAGCACCTAAAAGCAGGGGCCCTTCTCCCATCCCCTGGGTGTCCTGGGACTCAACCTTTCCCCTGGGTGGCCTGGGTCCCACAAATAGTGGCCTGGGTCCCCCACTGGCTTGGTCCTGCTTTGGGCGTCCCTGGAGCAGAAGGGGCAGGGGGAGAGGAGGAAGGGTGGAGAAAGGGAAGCAAAAAGTGGAGAAGCCCCACGGAGCGAGATGGGAGACACTGAGAGTACCCCGAGGAAAACCCCGGTGCACAGCAAACGGAGCAGCAGCTGGCACTGGGGGTCCGCGGGCGGGCCGGGTGGGGTGGCAGGGGGTGACCGTGTCCCGCACCCGCAGGTGGGGCTCCCCGAGGACATGGTGAAGCGCTGCGTGCAGCAGCTGGGCCTGGCGCTGGACTACATGCACAGCAAGAGCCTGGTGCACCGGGACATCAAGCCGGAGAACGTGCTGCTCTTCGACCGCGACTGCCGCCGCGTCAAACTGGCCGATTTCGGCATGACCCGCAAGGTGGGCTGCCGGGTCAAACGCATCAGCGGCACCATCCCCTACACGGCGCCCGAGGTGTGCCAAGCCGGCCGGGCCGAGGGCTTTGCCGTGGACACCAGCATCGACGTCTGGGCCTTCGGGGTGCTCATCTTCTGCGTCCTCACCGGCAACTTCCCCTGGGAGGCGGCGGCCGCCTCCGACACCTTCTTCGAGGAGTTTGTGCGGTGGCAGAAGGGGCGGCTGGCGGGGCTGCCCTCACAGTGGCGGCGCTTCACGGACAGCGCGCTGCGCATGTTCCAGCGCCTGCTGGCCCTCGACCCGGAGAAGCGCTGCCCCGTCAAGGAGGTCTTCTACTTCATCAAGTACGACCTGATGGCCGAGGTGCGCCGCCGGCCCTCCTACCGCTCCCGCAAGCACGCCGGGGACAAGCTGCCGGCCGGGGCGCACCGCCACGAGGCGGCCGGCTCCTGCACGCCCGCGCCGCTCAAGAGGACCATCCTGACCGACGGCAGCGGGCCCCGGCTCGCCGGCCCCGAGCCGAGCGCGGCCTCGCCCGGGCCGGCCAGCAGGACAGACGGCCGGCAGGACAAAGGCAAAGGGCAGATGGTCCTGGCCACAGCAATAGAGATCTGCGTCTGAGGGCGCCGGGGCGGCGCGCGGCTCCTTTCCCAGGGGCTCCAGCCCGGGGACGGGATGGGCAAGGGGCTGCTGGTGGTGGCGGCAGCAGGACCGGGAGCCGTTCCTCCCGAAGCAAAAAAAAAACAACAAACACAAAAACGAAACCAACAACAGAAAGAAAAAAACAAGAGGAAAAGGACAAAACTGGTTGCGCTCGGTAGCGCCGAGGATGCTGGCCCTGCTGTCCCGCCCGCATGGCAGGAGCTGGGGAGGACGCCGGTGCCACCGTCCCCTGCCCAGCAGCTGCGCCGCCCCCTCCAGGCCCCCCCTGCAGTGGCATGGGGAGGGGTCCCCCAATAATAATAATAACAATTACGAGACGGGGGGGCTGCGCTGGGACCCCCGCCATGCCTGGCCCCAGGAAGGCCGATGACCCCACGCCATGGAGGAGGCCTTTGGGGCGGCGAGCTGACCCCTGGCACCGGTCCCTGCCCCGCCGGGGGGATCGGGAGGGGGCACGGAGGGCGGCGATGGAGGAGGCCCCCCCCCGGCTGGCTCCATGCCGCGGGAGGTGCTGCGCAGCCGCCGCCGTGCGCCGGCAGCCATTGATGTAGCAAGTGTCACTGTGTGTCACCCTGTCCTCCCTGCCCCGGCGCGGGGCGGTGATGGCCGGAGGGACCCTGCTGGGGCTGGGGAGCTGCGGTGGGGGGGGTTTGGGCTCAGGGGGGGTGGGCATAGGGCCAGGATCCGCGATGCTCCGGGGGGGCTTTGCAGCCTTTTCCTACCCAGGGATTAGGAATGCGGTGGCACAGCTCCGGGGCTGGCCTGGTGGCTCCTGCATGGCCAGGAGGGAGCTGGGGGGGACGACAACAGACCCACACCTTTGAGCCACCTCCCCAGGGTCCTCCATAGGGTCCCCGTCACCCCTCCTCGCTGCCACCCTGTCCCCAGCACCCCGGGGTCTGCCCGCGGCGAGGCAGGGCGGGGGCAGGAGCCACAGTGGCCCCTTCACACCGAGGACACGGGGGCAGATGCCCCCCCCCCCCAACCCTGGCAGGGCTTCGCTGATGCTGCTGCAGGACCCATGGGCACGGGGTGGGGGGGCACCCTGAGGGGCCCCCGGCACCCCCATCCCCTCCGGACCCCGAACTACCGCACAAAGGGCTATCACGCTACCCCGAAGCAGCAGCAGTTTACACAGCAGCCGCCAGGCAGGCGGGGGTCCCACCGTGTCCCCCCGTGCCCCCGCCGCAGCCTGCCACCGATGCCGCTGCCCCCTCGTCCCCATCCCCATCCCCGTCCCCCCCCCAGCCCTGCCTGCCTGCAGGAGCCCAGGTCCGGTTTTAGAAGTAGCATCGCACAGATTTAGAGATGTTAGGCGCGGTTTTTTTTCTCCTTTTTGCCTTAGGTCCCTCGATGTCCTCGATCTTTCGTGCAATAATGTAGGTAAGGAACCCAGGGCTCCCCGGGGCGTCCCTCGCGGGGCGGGCACCGTGGTCGCCACCTCGGTCGGTTTGTCAGGTTTTTATTTCGACTTCCCTCGGCTGTCGGGTTTCGGACCTTCTTCCCGTAGGAGAGGCTGTAGTGTCACAGACGTTACCTCAGTTTGTCACTGTTGAAAAAGGAAAAAAAAAAAAAGCAACTAAAAACATAAAAAATGACAAAATATATAGTTATAAAAGCAAAAAAAAACATTCTGAATGGTGGTGAAGACTTTCTTTTTTTAAAATAAAGCCAAAGGGATGGCAGGGACAGCATGGTCCCTCCGGGCTGGGAGCGGGGACGGGGGCAGGTGCCGAGCGGGCATGGCCACCCTGCACCCAAACGTATTCCAGCCACGTCGGCAGGCTAATTTCAATTTCCTGGTAATTATGCAAATGAATGTGGATTTAATTAAGGGCAGATTTCATTAAAGTCTTCTTGGGGAAATGAGAACAGGGTGGGGGAGAGCGAGGAGGAGGAGGAGGTGGCGGAGAAGGGGAGACGAAGGCAGCGCCCCCCGAAAGGCGAAGGGCTGCGGGGACACCGAGGGGACACATGGGCACCCGGCCCCTCGGGAGTGGGGCTGGCACCTGGAGGGGCCGGGGGTGCAGGGGACAGGCTGGTGGCACAGTGCCCGCGCTGGGGACACGGGGAGCAGGCGGCGAGCCCTGCACATCTGCTGGCTCCGGCGGCGAAGGCTTTCATCTCCTGCTTCCAGCCTGCTTCGCATCAGGGCAGGGACTTGGCCACGTGATTTATTCTTTTTTTTTTTTCTTTTTTTTTTTTTCTTCTCCAGCTAAAAATACAGATTTGGCCACACCGAAAGGTCTAGGAAATCAATGTCACTGTCACCGGGCTGTGGCTGAAAGGGCCCTCCCCTCCTTATCACAGACAGAAAAGGCAAAGCCGCGGTCTGATGGCCCCACAGTGGCCCACTCGGGTTCTGTTTGGCTGAACTGTTCGCTTAATTCCAAGCCAGGTGGATAATTTTAGCCCAGCACTGTGAGGACGGGGACTGCGGGTGGCCAAGCTGCTGCTACAGCCCCTTGGGTCTGCTCCTGGCCTCTCGGAGCATCCCCTGGGGGGAAATGGGGCTGGGGGAAGCCACCAAGCCACCCCGTGGTGGGGACGGAGGGACGAGCGCACTACCATCACCCCGTTCCCCTCCCAAAACCCCAAAGCTCAGAGTGCTCGGTTGTGCTGATCGAATCCCTCTCGCCACGTGCCGCTCTCCTCCAGCCTCACTCTCCCAGCGCCTCCATCACCCCACAGTTACTAACTGTGGTTGCGGGCACTGCACCAGGGCAGAGGGATCCAGGGGGTCCCGGGGCCGCTTTTTCTTCTCCATCACCAGTCCCCAGGCGATGGACAAGAAAAATACGGTTGGGTTCGTGGCGAGCCTGGCACCGGCAGCAGGGCAGCACGGACCCGGCCCTGCCACACCAGCACCTTGCAGCCTCTCGGAGGCTCCTGCCCCAACTTCTGCTTCCACTTCTGGAACCTCATTTGGCCAGTTTTGTGCGTGGAGATGCGAAGCGAGCCGCTGCAGGCCCACCTGAAATACCGGAGGTTGCGAGCAAAAATAACTGTGAATGATCTGCTCGTTTGGAGCACAGCTGATCAACGCCAAGTCGGCGTGAGGCTCTGCAGCTAGCCAAAAAAAAAAAAACAACAAAAAACACAAAAACCAACCCCAGAACCCCAAACAAGCCCTTTAAAAGGAAATATTTTGCTACCACGCCGCCACCTCAGCTCCCGGCTGATTCACACGGACGCTGCTCGGGGGCTGCCGTTGCGCAGGATCCGTCCCCACCACTGCAGCAGCACAGGGACGGGCACCACGAGCCCGGGGGGGCGCTGCCGGAGCCGCACGGAGACGTCGGGGAGACGCGGGGCCGGCGTGGTGAGCTTATTCATGATCCGTGCTCCTCCTGGCTGAGAGGCTCCAAAAATAGAGGTGGCAGCGAGCCGAGGAGCTGGGCGCTGGGAGGAAACGTGAGTCACGGTGGTGTGGATTTGAGCCCCCCACCGTGGGTTGCTGGTGAGTCCCTGGTTCTGGGGGACATCTCGGAGCCGTGCTGCCCGCTGTCAGGAGGTGATGGGTGAGTGGCACCCAAAGCCTGACGGCTGCAGAAGGCCCTGCCTGGGACAAGCTGCATGAGCCAAGCAAGGAAACCTGTCCTGAGTGGGGAAAAATCCAGCCCCTGCCACATGGGATGCTTGGGATGTTCCAGGAGGGCCACAGCTCATGGCAGGTGGGGAGAGGTGACCCCGTGTGACACAAGAAGCCATGCAGGGACAAAGGAAAAGGGAGAGGAGAGCTGCATCCCCATCCCATCCCATTCCCAGTGGAAGCAGCCCCCAGGCATCCCCAAACTGCCAGGCTCTGACCGCGTTCCCTCCAGCCTCAGCCTGTGGGGAGGATTTTGGCACGGGACAGAGGAGGGCTGGAGGCTGTTGGCACCTCTGATGTATTTACATCAACACAGGTTTTAACATTTTTCCACGACAAGGTACAAACCCCAGCATTTTGGGGCTGAAAAACGGGTGGTTTGTCAGCTTTGGGGATGGGGCAGCTGACCAGGATTTTGGGGCGCAATGATGAGACCCAGGGATGAGGGAGCACCCCTGGCACCGCGCCCTCCCCTGCCTGAACGCCTCGCTCCAGGCTCCACGGGCATCCTGAGTTACCATGGAGACTGCTGCAGCCCGGCCTCGGAGGGAGAGGACACGGGAGATGATGGGGTGAGGATGGGAGATGGGGCAAGGACTAAGGAACAGGAGATGGGGTGAGGCCGGGAGATGGGGTGAGGACTGGAGATGCAGGCAGGGGGCTGTTGGTGGCCTCCATCCTGCAGACGTGGCTCTTGGAGCCCAGCTTTAAGCCCTCTGCAACACCCCAGGGGCTTAAAGGCACCCCCAACACGTCTGCAACACGCGTAAGATGGCTTTTGGCTGTGTTGTAGCCCTGAAGGTACCACATGGGAAGGATTAAAGGCTGCAGATGAGACACGAGGGCGGCTGTGCCCCCGCGGAAGGTGCTGAGCAGCCGGGAGCTCCCCAGTGGCCTCCCGCTGTGCTTCACGGGGCACGAGGACTCCCAAGGGAGGAGGGCTCTGGGTTTGAACTTGCACCAGCCGCATGCAGACCCCTTGGAACAGCCCCCCCCGAGCTGCCCGGTGCCCGCAGAGCAGCGGGCACAGCCCCAGGGCAGGGACGAGCCGGCCGCCCTCCGGCACACGGGCACTGGCAGTGCCTTTGGCTCGCGGCCACGCCAGCGCCAGGCTCCTGCGTGACCCAGTTCCAGCAGCTGAAAGAGCCTGGAGCTGGTATTGCTGCCCGAGCCATCCGCTGCTTCAAACGCTTTAATTACCCACATCTGAGTCATCCCCGGCCCTGCTTTATCAAAGCTTGCAGCCTCGCAGACAAATCGCCCTTTGTGCTCCTCCAGCCCCTTGGCCACGGGGAATTGCCAAGTGCCAATTAATCAGCAGCTCCCGCTGCGACAGGGCCCCAGGGAGAGGAGATCAAGAGGGGACACTGCCTGCCCGCTGTGGCGGTGCTGGTCCCAGCCCCAGGGATGGGGACGGGGACAAAGACGCTCCCCGCAGCACAGCCCGAGCAGGACACGGTGCTGCTGTCACACCACAAACACAGGGACCAGCCCAAGCCTCCCCTCGCTGCAGAGCCAGGCAGGGCAGGGGGTCTGCGGCCACAGGAACCCACGGGGTGACCCATGGGCTCTGCCCCTCTCCCCGTTCTGCCCCGTAAATCCAATGGTGGTGATTCACCAGGGGAGGCTTAGACCTCCAGCACCCGGCCCCGAGGTCGTGGGGGGCGCAGGGCTGTGGCTGTGCTGCCCCCAGGACCACAAACGTCCCCGTGCTTCCTCCGCTGCCCGCAGGAGCAGGTGCAGCAGAAGGGAGGATGCAGGCAGCGAGCGAAGGCAGTGTCATGCCCGGCACGCCTCCGGGGCCACATCTGCTGATAATGAAATGTGAAGCCAGTAGCAAGGGCAACCTAAAATAGCAAGATGCTGCTGCAAGCAGCGGAGCCCTGGCACGGCCGCACAGCTGCTCCCAGTCCACCTCTGGAGCTGGTTGTGGGCCTCCGGAGCTGAAACTGGGACCCAACTCCTCAGCTGTGCTCATGCCGCCCACGGGGAGGGCAGCAAGTCCCCGCACGCTGTCTGAGTAGTGATGGGAGACATCCCGGGTGCTCCGCGGGGCTCCCGTGCATAGGGCTGGAGCAGAAACTATTTATTTGGGAGAATAAAAGTAAATGCTAAATGAAAAGAAGTCATTCTGGTCCAAATCAAATCCACCCATTTGTTTTAGGGGGTTGTTCCAGTTCCAGGTGCCACGTGTTTTCAATCCTGTTTCGCTCAGCTGAATTAGGATGGAGAGGGGACACCAAAGGGAAATACCTGCGAGTTTTGTTCCGATGTTATTCATTTGAATATGGGCTCTTCCTTGTCATTTCGCTTCAGGGGGGCAGAAGAATCGGTTTGGTCACTTTGCCAAGCCCCCAGGCAGCTGCCAAACCTGCACGTGGTGGCTGAGAAGAGGTCAGCTGCTCCCTACCCTGAGGCACCCGCAGATTGTGGGGAGGTGACAGCAGGGCTGGGGCACACCGGGGAACCAGGAGACGGGCACAGGGCGCTGCATTCCCGTCTTCCTCATCGCAGGCCCCTAAGGAGTTAACACCAAATGCCACCTACTGTATTTTCTCTCTCCTCCATTGAGGCAGCTCTGCCACTGGCAGCAGAACAATGCTAAATTCTGATTAGCTCTGGTTTTCCAGCAAGAGGGGAGGCACGAGAGGGTGGGGAATTAATACTATTCTGCATAATTTTTAATCTAAATTCCATTTCTTTTCTTTTCTTTCTCTAGGAAGCAAACAATCTAGGGGGTTTTGTACTCAATTTCTTGCTTTCATAATCTAAATGAATTGTTTGCAAGTAGGAGCCAGCTGCAAAGCTGGCAATCTCAGATCAAATCTGCCTTTCTCCTAGTTCTAGCAGTCATTAATTTGCTCCTCAGCGCTGATTAGCTAATCCTGGCTGCCTTGTGGCAGTTTGCAGGAAAACACCGGGCGAGCTGCGGCTCCGTTTGCCGGAGCTGACGGCGGGGCGACGGGATTGAATCCTGCAGGGCCCACGGTGCTCCAGGAGAGGAGTGGGGAGCTCTGGGAGGAAAGGCTGGTGAGGTTATTTATGGAATCCTGGCATTTGGGAAATATCAGAGGATGATGCTTTCCCCTGCTCTGCGCAGGGCGTGCTAGTTCGTTACACCGAGACTAATTAGCTGGGCTTTAAAATTGGGATTGAAGACAGGGCTGCAGCGTCTCTCAGAAATCCCCAGGTGCTGCCCCATTTCTGCCGGCGTGCCTACGGGATGCGGCAGTGCCATGGGTGGGAAACCGAGGCACAGTCCTGGGGTGTTTGCAGCCGGGGGCTCACAAAGAGCAAGCCTCCACGGTGGGGCTCTCTGGAAGGGGGTGAGGTACCGGGTGATTGCTGTGCCAGGCCCTGGTTTGTTACTTGGCCTAACACTGTTGCAGTCCCACGTGCTGCTGGGGTGTCCCCAGACGGGACACGGCCTCCCTGGGCTGAGTGCTACCGGTCACAGGAGCGTCACCTCCTGACGTGTGAGTCCCCCAGGCTCAGGGAAGGGGGCTGTGCAGCTCCCTGTGATCCCATTTCTCACAGTTTTTTTTCAGATCAAATTCCCCAAGTGCAGGGGGAGGATCCTTTTAATTTTCGTTTGTTTCAAGGCTGTACGTGGCTAATGAACACGACAGAAGTGTGCCTGGAGTGCAGCAAAATGGCCTACTTAGCTGCAGGAGCAGAGCAGGCTTTTTGGTCACGCTGAGCCCCGGGGGCTCAGGGCACGTGGTTTCTGGAGCTCCTCTTGAGGAGACACGCAGTGGTGTTCTGTGTGAGGGATGGCTGCAGGGAGGACTTGCTCCACGCTCTTGTGGAGGGAAAGGCTCTGCGTGGGACTGGCTCACCCTGCCAGCAGCAGCCAGAGGTGGCCGGCCAGCCAGCTGCATGCCACACTGCATTAACACCACCTGGAGGTGACACGGGGACGGTTGGTGCCACAACTGCGACATCTGTACCAGGTGCACGTGTTAAGTCCACCTCAACAGGGCAGGTGGGAACAAGAGGCCTGCTGGGCTGAGAAATCTTCCCCAAAGGAGCTGAATTTGCCCCGAAGGTCCCCAGAAGACTGACAGTCCTCACCTTAAAGCCAGCCACCTTGCCAGACAGCTCACCAAAAGGATTCAGCAGAGGAGGAGCAGCACTAGATCAGTTTGCTGGGGTGAGAGGAACACGGGGCAGGGCTGAGCACCCACGGGTGGGCAATGAGCTGGGGCTGGGCAGAGATGGTAACAGGGCTGCCAGAGCAGAGACAGCTTTCAGTTGTCTTTAATTGGCTCTACCTGGTGTACTCAGCTCTCCAGGGATCCAACCTTCCCTCCACCTATTTCCACGTTACTTACTGTGGTTTTGTCTTTGGTTCAAAGACCACAGTAGCAGCAGAGCATGGAGTCTTGTCTCTTGGGCCTGAGGAAGATGGGAATCTCCAGGTGCCCGAGAGAGAGCCAGCAGCGAACCTCTGCCTCTGTGCTTGCCTCCTGATCTTTTTCCCAGCAAGCTGAACACTCCAAACCTTGCTCCACAAACGCAAGCAGATTGCCTGAGAATGCACTCCACTAGAAAACACAGCTATGGTTCAGCAAGATTTGTTCCTGGGCACTGATCCTTCCTCCCACCAATCTCATTTATCTTACTGATGCTAATACCATGCTTCAGACTTTGTTTTAATGACAAACAAATCTTAGTACTCTCGGAGGCTGGGAGCCCCCTTGGTGTCTGTCTACAGAGATACCCACCACAACGGCATCCACCCCCGTGCTGCTTGGCGGCACTGACCATCTCGGCTAGCGGTCCTGGGATTCGATGCGGTGGATGCTGTCAGACGTCAGGGAGTCAAAAAGGCAACAGAGCAGCTCTTTAGCCTGAGGAGAAAAGGAAGAGGGTGTTGGGGGCAAGCTGTGATTTCTGTGCATCACAAAGAAACTTCTTTTCAGAGGTAGGTTTCCTGCGCATGACGCAGGCAGCCAGCACAGTGAGGGTATTTACCAGGTAGCGGTGTTGTGGATTGGATTAATCCCTGCACAGAGGTAACTATGAGCATCCCATAGCAGGAAAAATCTGCTACTTGTTACAATTGTTTGGCCATTCTCAAGATTTTCAAGGAACTGAAAACGAATATCACGTGAAGTGCCAAGTGGGACTCCCCACTCCAAATCTGACTCCCTCCCCCTGTCTGCTTCTGCCTCACCTTCCCAAATCTCACCCCTGGAAGCACAGAAAGTCCCGAGTTGGCAGGGACCCACAAGGATCATTGAGACTGATGCCTGCCACCAAACAGAACCACCCAAAAACCAGACCCGATGCGTGACAGTGCTGTCCAAATGCTCCTTGAGCTCCTTCAGGCTCAGTTCCCTGACCATGTTCCTGGGCAGCCTGTCCCAGTGCCCAACCACCCTCTGGGTGCAGAACCTTTCCCTAACCCCCATCCTGACCCTCCCCTGTCCCAGCTCCATGCCGTCCCCTTGGGTCCTGTCGTTGTTCCCAGAGAGCAGAGCTCAGCGCCTGCCCCTCTGCTCCCCTCGTGAGGGAGCTGCAGGCCGCCATGAGGCCTCCCCTCAGCCTGCTCTGCTCTGGGCCGAACAAACCCAGGGTCCTCAGTGCTCCTCATACATCTTCCCCTCCAGACCCTTCACAACTCTTTGTAGCCCTCCTTTGAATGATTTGTAATAGTTTAATGTCCTTTTTTTACTGTGGTGCCCGACCCTGCACGCAGTGCTCGAGGTGAGGCCGCAGCAGGCAGAGCGGAGCAGGACGAGCACTCCCTGAGCGGTGCAGTGCCAGCCTCGGAGCACCCCAGGACATGGTCGGCCCTCCTGGCTGCCAGGGCACGCTGCTGGCTCAGGCTCAACCTGCTATCAACCAAAACCCCCAGATCCCTCTCTGCAGAACTGCTCTCCAGCCTCTCGTCCCGCAGTCTGTACGTACAGCCAGGGTTGCCCCTTCCCAGGTGCAGAATCCGACACTTGCTCTTGTTAAACTTCATGCTCTTTGGCACAGTGGTTTCATAAATAAGGTGGCCAGCTTAGCAGCAAGACCTTTGTGACCTGCCTGTCATTCTGATTGTGCTGATGAACATGCCATGCCATGCTGGCAGCCCACCCCATGCAGCCCCTGGATCCTCCTCCTGCCACTACTCTGCCTCTCCTCAAAGCTGCTTTTAGGACTCTTACAGGACAGCAGCCCTCCTGCTGAAGGGCTCAGGATTGTGCCCAGGATGTGTTTTGCCTGTGTTGCTCTGCTCCACTCCCAGCTTTTGGCTGTGTCTGAAGGGAGGGAGGTGCTGGAGCAGCCATCGTAGCTGCTGACATCTGCTTGAGGCTCCAGGCAAAGCAGAGGGATTAGCACTCCCTGTCAGCAGAGGCTCAGAGCTGCTGCTGAGGAATGAGCAGAGACCCTGCTGTCTCCTCTTCTGACCTGCTAATGGTGGCAGGTCAGTGACGTGCTGCACCACCGCTGAGGGACAGCCACCCTGGCCTCATGGCCCTGTCCCAGCTGCAGTACAGGGAGCTGCACGCAAGGAGAAACTCTGCCAAGCCACAGAACATCTGAGTCCTGAGGTATCGTAATGCTGTTTGAACACAGCACTCCTTGACTGCTCTATTTTCTGGAGAGATTCCAGCCCTGTCCAGGTGTGGGGACATCCAAGACCATGTCACAGAGACCCACTGGAAATTCCAGCCCCTAACGGTGACACCAACAAAAAGTGGCGCTATCACTTCCAGATATGAGCTGGTCTGTGTGTGGTGAGATAAGCTTGTGTGGGGAGCAGGCATCTGCAGGGTCACTGCATGAGGATAAAGCACTTCCAAAGCGTGAATTCATCTGTTCCTAAGGTCAATGTTTCAAATAGGGCAGATGAAACGTGCAATAAAAATGCTTGCTTCTCTCAGCAGCTACAGAAGGGGGCAAGACAACTAGCCCAGACATAGGTTTCAGCACTGATACAGTAAGCATTTGGAAATCTGAATTCTCATCCCATTGCCTAGTCCCAAGTCACACAGGGAGCAAGTATAAAATTCCTTTTCAATTCCATGGCTTGACTCCACCAGTGAACAATACAGCTGTGCTGAAACCATGAGGATTTGAAATCCATGTTCACTTAACCCTCTTGAACTTTGCCTGATATCATGTTGATGATCATTAGCTTTGACCTGGAAAGCCTAGCTGACATTTCATAAACTCATTAGCACGAGATCAGAGGATCAAACATGGTTTCTAGGGACATCCTTTGAGTTACAATCATTCCCCAGTGAGCTTGCTCCTCAGATCTTGCTCTGTGATTTCTAAACCCACCCTGAACTATGGAGCAAAAGGCCCCTTTGAAAATAAACACCCCTTGCTGCTGTGCTTCTTGCAACCCACGCTGAGAAGTGCTGCAGCCACCACTGTCCCAGGGCTAGACTTGTGGTCTAAGCTCTGAACTGCTGTGAATAGCCCCTGCTTCCAGCAATGCCAGAGGGATTTGATTCAGCGGCCCAGACTGCTAAAAGCAGGGAAAAGGGCTGAGCGTATTTGCTTTTTATCTTATCTATCACAGAAAGTACTATAAACCTCGTGCTGATAGGCTGATTCTCCGTGGCCGTGAAGCAGAAAGGATTTTGTGTCAGCCAGAGATATGCAATGTCCTTTTCAAAGCAAATCAGAAGCCAGCCTGGCCTGGCTGCCCTGTCACATTACTTGGCAACAGACGGGCACGCTGGCAGCAGCACGCGCTGTGCTATGACAGCCTTGCAGCTATCGCAGAGTTGTGCAGGCAGACCTTCCAGGCACTGCAGCACACACAATCCCAGCTAAACCCCGGGAGAAGCTCGCTGCACTTTAGAGAAAGCTGCTGAAAACAGCAGCTGTGAGACTTTGGGGAAGTTTGGGGTAGTCTTGCTTGTGTTACAGGCAGGAACACAGACTTCAAAGAGGGCTCTGTGTCTTTTCAGGTTCAATCCTTGGAGCACTGGTACTGAAGGCAGCAGCTCTGCAACATTATGTGAAGTTACAAACACATCTAACTCTCTTAGATGAGACCAAAAGGGATCCACAGGAGAGGCTTGCCTACTTGCTACCCTTTCTCATTCTCCCAAATTCTTTCTATACCTCCTAGTCCCAACCCTTCAGGCACTGCCTTCTTTGTTTCATACTAAACTTTGATGATTACAGACAGAATTTTAAAGATATTTGTTTGGTTTATTTCCATTAAGTGCTCAAATGTCTTTAAAAACTGGGAACTTAGTGCTTCCTTTCTCGGGGTGAGCTACTGAGAGAAGACTCAGCCAGCCCATCCCTGGAATGGCTAATGGTTTAGTTTTGCATTTTCCATTTGGATTTGGGCTTCTGAAACATGACTTCTAGAACATAGGACACGCGACAGCACGGCAGTAGGGCTGAAGGAACCTTTTCTGTCTTATTTTTGATGAAATATCACAGAAATCTTACAAAGTGTTGATTCTTCATTAAAAAAAAAAGTAACTGAAAACTGAAAAAGTCTACAGAAAATACTGAATCTTTATCAAAATCTCCAAATATTTTGATTCAAAGTAGTGCTACCGGTGTAATGTGGAAGCCAGTTTAACAGGCTTTTGGTCCTACCTGCCATCATGCACTGAGCTCTCAGTATAAGCCAAGGCTTGGGGCTGTCATGAAGCAACATTTACATCTCACACAAGTTGAAATTTTCTTTTAAAATTCAATCAATTTGGACAAGTTTCATTCACCACAGGAGCACAAAATAACATATATTTGTATTATAAACTTCTCTACTTGCCTGTTTCTCATTTTGAGGATAAAGGAGATGCTGTGCAGTGTCCAGCAGCGACTGCTTCTGCCAACAGACACTGGGGGTAAAGAAAAAGAGAAGGCAGTGTTACTTCGCCATCTAAGCTGTCAGAGACTGCTGATGACCTAGCTTTAAGGAGAGCTATGCTGAGTGCCAGCAGCTCTGGCCATGTGCATCTGTTACTGAACTTCTTTACACAGATAAATCCTGGGTTTTACAAAGCTTTGTATAAATGGATTTGGATTCTTAAAATATAAGCCTCCAAACAAACAGTAATGACCTGTTGCATAATGGGGTCTCTAGGGCAGTGGGAAATGCACACACATCTAGATGTTTAAGATCTCTGCAAGGGCCTTTTTCTCAACTAACAAAATCTGCATGTTTTTCCAAAAACCTAGGACTTTCTAACCCGCCTTTGACAACAGCTCTGCTTCACTAGCCCTTGTTTTGCTTTGGTCTCCCTCAAGCTACATGAGTTGACCACAAGACATAGGCAAGAGAGATTTAAAGGCAAGATACAAATTTTAAAATTGCCTTTTTAACTAACTCCGTGCACAGGCAGAGTCTTCAGCTTCTAGAACCACTCCCTGCCCCCATATCCAGGTATTGTGCTTGGCAACAGTTCTCCCTTCAGTGGTTTTCAACAGCTCCAGGATTTTACATCTCATGTGTTCATCTTTTGATTTCTACACCTCCTTTCCCTCCAAAGCCTCCAGAGATGAGCTTCCTATAGGGATAACATCACTCCCTGCTAACAGCAATTAACATTTGGTAAGAATGTTTCATCAGACAGAATAACACCCAGCTAAGTTCCTTAACACTTGGCGTTTGTTCTGATTGCACTGCATTATCTAGAAAGGGGAAGGTAGAGGGTCTAGTCTGCACTCTGATTTTCTTCCAGTACTGCTACGTTTTCTGTGAGCTTTGGTCAAACTCTGCTTGCTGAGTTCCACACGTTAACTAGATGAATTTCTAAAGACCCTACACAACATAGTGAGGTCCTAACAACCTTAGGAGCACCTCAAAGTACTTTTTACAAGCTCAAATAACCATGCAGGAGTAGTTCCTAGCGTGGTCACTATAAAATATGTATCACTTATTACAGAACTAAATCTAGTTTGTCACGCATAAAAAGCAGAGCACGCCTTTCTTCTAGTAGCTGCTTTGAATCTACTTGTAAATTCTTCCCTCGGCCACCCTGCAGCTAGGAAGTCTGGCTTTAAAAACAAGTTATGACAGGGTAAATTCAAACGTTATATATATTGGAGATCTGGGCAACTGGATGCTAACAGAACAAGAAAGATGTCTCACATTATTTTTCTTTGTGTGTGTGTCACTTCCTTCTCTTGATTCTCCCCCATCCCAGTCCCCACTACTCCTGGGCTGTGCTTCAGCTTCCCCTCACCTCTTCCAAATGCTTACTTCACTCTGCCCTGTGAATTACCCTTGGCACCCTCCCAGATTCCTACTTTGGCTCTGTTCTTTGCAGCCAGCCAATCTCACGGGCTGCTTTTGTGCCCCCACCTGCATACATTTTGTCCCCTTCTCTGTTCTTCCTGCCCTTTGGATCTGAAATAATCCATTTATAGACATCCAGAGAACAGAGTGCACAGGGTGGGCACTGCAGCTGAACACTAACCACTGCACAGTTATAAGGATCTGTGTTTGTCTTTAAGGCAGCTGCTCTGCACAGCACATCCTCCAGTGACTGAATGTCTCCTTGATGTGCCACAGATAGAGCCGGCTTAGGAAAGTTTTAATATGCTCTGAACTGAGAGCAGTTACACTGGCAGAGCCTGCATTGTTCCTCCCAATACCTGACTCCTCCTTCTTATCACAGCCCATCTCTGACATCATGTCCAGGCTTTCATACAGATGGCAATGTTTTCCCTGTGGCACAGAGCCTAAGTGATGTGGCTCAGCTGTGAATCAGCTCCCAGGGCCACAAAACAATCTCTTACACCCTGGTGCTTCAGCAGTGCAGCTGAAATGCAGGCCAGAGCCCGTGTAGGTAGTGGAATCCCGGCCTGCTGCAGTAAGGGTGAGATAAATACACAGCGATCTGTTCGGTGCAAGAGCGGTCACATGGCTCCTGCTGATGGAGCCATAAGTGTAATTAACCTCAGATGTTATTTTGAAATGTTTATAAACTAGGCAATGAAGATGCCTTAGCATGAAGTGTCCTTATGAGACACTAGCTCAGACTGGCTGTGTTTTCAAAGATACTTGCAAAGTTGATTTTAAACAGTATGATAGCTTATGGTGGAGGAAGCTTACCTGTTGGCTGAAGCTGATCTACCCAAGGATCAATGCCTCTCCACCTCCCCATCCTCAGGCAACACTTTGCTGCCCCTCCCTTCCACATGCATCATTGATCAGGAAGAAAAGTATTATTCTTGTAGAGCAAGTTTTAAGTGGCTGTAGGATCACCAGTTCTGGCACAGGGGCTAAAGGCAGAGCAGATCCTGCCATTTGGGAGTGCCACTGTGATTTACGCACATGTGTTTTGCAGTTTGGCAAGGAAGTTTATGTACTGTACAGGCAGCCATACAGGACGAGGGACACAGCTGAGACTGGCCATGTTCACATCTATTCCTCCCCACTTCCCTCTCAGCCCCTGGGCTCACTGTGAATGGCAGTGAGAAGCCACTGTGATGTCTGATCTGTGGGGGCTGCCTCCAGACTGGCAATCTTAAAACACATCAAGTTAAACCTTTAGAAGGGGGGAGCACTGTGTTACAGATCGTGTTATGCAGTGCCCAGACTCTGAAAGTCTGGGAAAAAAAAATAGGGGGAGATACTGTATTGGCTCCCAGCCCTGCTGACGGCCACTCTCCCAGAACTCCCTTCAGCAGTGATCTTTGGGGCTCCTGATAGCTCACTTTTTCCTATAAAGTAGGAAAAGGGTAGAAGGAAACTCACTTGAAAGATCAGTTGCTGTTTGTTTTCTCTTAGTGCTGTACCTTGTTGGCTGGAAGATTTATGATGTGGCTCCCTAGGGTGGGATTTTAAACCAATAGAATCAATATCCAAATTTTGTCATTAGCTTAAAAGCATATTTGAAAATATGCTACAAAATTTGTTCCACCTGCCCTTCCCAAGTGCAGCCTTGCAGCTGAGCACCACAAAATTAGATCAAAGTATGAGAACTCTGAGATGTCTACCAATTCAAATGTTCTGATTTGATCACCTCGATGCCTGTAAACTCCAGCATCCTTGAATTCTTCTTCCTGCCCATTGACAGTGTCTGGAAATCCTCCTGATGGAACAGCCAAAGTCATGGCAGCCTTAGTGGCGCAGCTGCTGGACTGCTCTAGACTGACTGTGTCAGAAAACAGATTCTCTTGGCTTTCTTTCCCAGAGGAAACCATGCGCATGAACTACACATCACATTGCCAAATACCACCCCCTGTGCAAGGAAACTTTCCCTCTGGGAGACAGTGGGTTAATTGGCCTGATAATCATTCTATTTCACTAATCAGTCCCTGTAGAGGGGTTCTGTTTGTTTTATCAGGCCTGTAAATCCTCTACCCAGCATTTGTGGTGATTTATTTAAGAGGTTGATTTTTGATTTTGCTCTCTGGTATTTATTTTAAGCATTTTTTTTTCATAACAAACACAGAATCTGCTAAGATATTTCTCCTAGGAATTTTATTGATTCAGCAGGTCTATTCCCAATGTGAGCCCTTATTTTAGAGAACTCCCTGTATTTGTGGAACGATCTTGCCAAGCCTTACAGACACTCCAAGTCCTTAACAAACAACACAACTTAGTACTTAATATCCTGAGCATGGGGCACGCAGACTTGAGACTAAGGAATGCTCTGAGATATCAATAGATTAAAAACAACACAGCTTAGGATGAACACATTGCCTTTGAGTGGTACCTAACATCATGTGAGTCTAAACCACAAGAGAACTACAGAAACGAAGATCAGCTGTCCTTGTTCAGATTACACACTATATGGTAGAGAGTTGAGACAGTGGTGAAAAAGTGCTGTTAAGTTGATATTGTTCCTCACTTACCTGTCCAGCAGGGAGTCGAAGCAAATGACCGCATTGTCTCGCTCTGCTGCTAACACCAGACACAAACCGTCCATTAAAAGGGAACACTATGGGAAGGAAGAACAGAGCTTTGGGTTGCTATCCACTTAAATAAGTCTGTAAGCCTCACTGATGAGCTGCTGACAGCACAGATAACTGGTTGTGTGCTGTGTGAGGACAGGAAAGACAGAGACAGATTCTTTCAAACTGAAAGATTATTGCGTCTGAACCGTTAGTTAACCCATTCCTATGGCTTGCTATTATTCCTGTTCCCATCCCTTAGAGTGAAAATAAGCAGGTTGCTTAGAGGTGTTAGTCCGTCACTAAGTCTGCTGGAAGCAGGAATATGGAGATAACTGTAAATGTTTGAGATACTGTAGCAGAAACACTCATTACTTGAAGGAGCCCATCTTCCTTCTGGCAAGGGAACACAAATGCTGTAATGTTCACCTTTGGCTCAGCAGTGCCAGACCCTCCTGGAGACATGCCAGCTCTGCCCAGAGTAATTCATCTCTGACAGGAGGAAGCGTTTCCATCGCCAGGAGAGCAGTGCCACTGCTGTGGCTCTCCTTCCCACACGCTGATTCGCTTTGTCCTTCCTAAAGAGGTCTGCACATTCCTGTGCGCAGAGGGATGGCATCCTCAGGGGAACCACAGGAGAAGAAAGTAGTGCTTAGACTAATTGGATGCTAGATGTAATTGCTATTCTGTACAGCTGTACTTCAAAGGGATGCTGTCAGTTTAAAAAATCACAACCTAAAAAGATCTTACCTGCTTTTATTACAGGTAACACCTAAGACTCTCATAAGAACTGAAGGGATAGGAACACAAATGTTTGTATTTTTTTCATAGGAACCACTGTGTGCCTCTAACAGCCCTTTGTTGATCACTACTTCCAGTATAAGTAGTTTTCCTTGTTGTTTACTCTCTGTTCCTAACAGCACTTTCTTGTGCATTCCACCTTACTGCTTTGCTCTAGCAAGGTTCCTGAAATGCTGGGCTTATCCTACATCAAGTACAAAGAGAAAAACAGTTCAGGCACAATGCTGCACTGATGTCAAGTGATGTATTGGCTCACCCCAGAAGCATATCTTGTGCTTACACCCCGTGAGCACTTGCTTAAACTCAATGCTGGACTGCGGCTTGAGTTGTCATCACCAGCAGAATGAGACACAAAATTAAATCTCTGCCCAGAACTCCAGGGCACCATCCAAAAAGTGGAAGGGTTATTTAACATCGTAGAAGAGGATTAATGGGGTGCGATTACAGGAAGGGAAATAGAAAATGCTGTATTCTGTCTTGTTCTTCCAGATAAATACAGCAGAACATACATAATAGCAGCAACTGCTCACTGATAGGTGAATGGAATAAAATGTCTAGTGGGGATGAACCATTCACAGTAAGGATATGTTTGAACATAACAATGTCAAGTTTAGGTGTCAGTGAGCTAATGGAGATAGAGGAACACAAGGTAGGGACGAGCTAGCAAGGCACGCTGCCCAAATTACTTACCAGCATATTAGAGACCAGATTGCAGTGCTCTGCTAATGCTGCTACCAAAACTAGGCTGCCCAGAGCTAGCCCGGACATCTTAGCACAGCACTGCATCAAATGACTCTTCTTCCACAGGGAAAGAAGCAAAACAACTCCAGCTGTTTCATACCTTTGCTGCAACACTGCACTTTGCCCTGCTTAGTATCTCAGAGATGCAATGAGCTTGTGGTGCGTCCAGGACAGTGAGGCGTACTCCAGTCATTGTGAAATCTTTGCCAATAAGCTGATCAAGCAGTTCAACATAAGGTGGGTCTGACCCCCGAAGGATGATCCCAGGCAAGACGAGGCAAGTGGTTTGGCAGAGGTTATCAGACAATGGCCGATCTGATGGGAAAAGATCAAAACACAACAGATGCTTGCTTTATATGTACCCCCGCCAACTGCTAGCCCTCTAAGTAATTCTTCCCTGCCACATACAAGTAACTGGAAGATCAGAGGCACTCAGGCATTGTTATATCATTTGGGATGTTCCCAGATGTGATTGCTCATCCCAAACTGTCAAACTGCTGTATGCCTACGTGTACGTTTCTGGAGATCACAAGACAGCAGTTGTGACCCCATTTCAGGAGTCAGACAAGGACAGCTGCTGGTTTGCTACAGCAGACACTATTCCATTTAATTTCTTCCAAGCAAAGAAATCTGTTAATCCAGCTGCTTTTATAATCCAAAATGTAATTCTCAGCAACATACATAAGATTTAATGTATTTCATATTTTCCCCATGATAAATCCGTCTGTCCATTAGGCAGAGCTTTGTGGTAATTGCAGAAAGGAGGTTTCTTTGTGTGCAAGAGCTACCTCTAGCGTTTAAGATGAAACCGTGAAGTGAATGATGTGTCTGGTTTGCTGGCGGCGCTTACTATATCGTGCCTGACAGTTCAGAGATCACGTGTACTTGCTTTTCCAGGACAGTAGCTCTTTGAAAAACATTTTCTGAGACGCAGACACATCAGGGCTGTACATTAATTTTCTTTTCACTCTGCTTAAACATCTTCAAAGCAAAGAGATTTCCTTATGAAGCAGGAAATTGGGGGCACATATTTTGAGATTTGCTCCCAAGACTGAGCCATACAAAACTTGCAGAATACCCATGCTCTCTCCACAACTAGCTCGCTGTTGTTATTATTGTTAACTTGCAAGCTAGGCTAAAATCAAGAAGTACTTCAGTCACAACAAAACTGCGCTTCAGGCCTGGGCCTTTTCCAGGGTGCAGTTAAGCTGTTGGGGGAAATGCTCTGCTTGTCAGCAATAGCAGCATGGAATAGTTTGGATGGGGAACACCTGCAAGTCTCCTCTCACTGTAGCTTTGCCCTCTGAACAGAGCTTGAGCCAACACATCCCAAAGGAAACACAACAATGTGGTGACATCTCCGCAGCCATCCAGATAAGGTCAGGCAGCTACATGCAGAACAGCCTGGTCACCCCCCCCCCCCAGAAGCTGCTGTTAAATACGCACAGTTGCCAATCTCTTATTTCAGGGCTCATATAACGGCTTGGAAATGTCAGTAATGTTGTGAGACAGGCCTCACCCCTCATCCCAGCTAACATTTAAATCTAAAATGTTTACGTAGCCAATTTCTGATGTATTAGCGTGCAACATGAAAAAAAAAAAAAAGAAGAAAAAAAGGAGCTTGCCTGAGGAGAGCCTTACACATGTGATTTTTGTCATTATCATGAAAAACATGTAGGGCATTGTCCAAGGTCAATATAAGACAATGGAAAGAATTCATTGATAATGACCTTGGGAAATTTCTTCTTCAGAGACCCCCTACACAAAGTGACCTGGTGCCTACCAAGCACCTTTGCTCTCATTAAGGCAAAGGTCTTGACTTACTGCCATCATCCTTGCACTTCTACATGTGCTATCTTGTGAACCTGCTGGTACAGGGCCAAAAGTCTCACATCAGTAAGGGCTTAAGATAGGAAATAAGCATCTGTATATCCACAGCATTTTTATCATGCTCTTCTGCCAGTCCACAAAATGTTGTGGTTTTACTGCTGGGGTTAACTGCAGCAATCAGTTGCAGTGCAGGAACATTTTCTCAGCTGCCCACCCTCCTAATTGCTGGTCACATTGGAACTCAAGCTACAGGAATGAGAATGACCCGATTCCAAACATGTCTGCTCCCCAGTTGAATACCACAGGGATACTTTACCTGGTCACTGCTTGGTTATAAAAGTTTGGGATCGGTCCACAAACATCCATGTGTGAGTTACATCTCCTGACATAAAAGGCACAGCATCACAGCCTGTGTTGTATACATGCAATCAAGTACAATCAGCAGAAAAGACCCAGAGCAACCGTAGGCATCTGAGGGCACTGACAGGCTTGCTGAAGTTGTGCCTTCAGAACAAATTCAGACCAGCACTAACTGGAAGTCATTTTGAGCTGGCAGCTGTTCAGCAGCTAGTGGGAACTGAATGAGATCTCAGTCCAGTTCCCAAGAGATAGATGTCTACACTGCCAAAAGCACTCCCTGCATAAATTGCTACCTATCTATGTACAGAACAAAAGGTCTCACGATTGCCCATCACGATGGCGTCTCGGTCTCTCCTGTGGCAAGCTCTGAATGGGCACACAAACCGCTGTGGCCAAGCTGGTGTTGAAACATATTGTAAAAGTTCAGCAGAAAAAAAGTTCACTGTTTCTTACGCTATCTGTGTTGACAGTGCTTTTTCTTTTGCTGGTGACAAAGTCAGCACTTCTGAACAGCCCTATATTTAAGCCCAGGAAAGCACTGGCAGTGGCAAGACCTGGCAGGTAAACAGTTAAATGGCCGGACTCCACTGGAGCTGCTCTTTGCAGCTCAGTTGTCTCTCCTTTCTGAAAGGACATCAATACCAAATCTTGCTGTCACCAGATGGTTTGTCTTGCTGTCCAATTAATCAATAACAGTCTCAATCTATATCAAGAGTTACGCGTTTCCTTACCAAGATCGCATGGTTGCCCAGAGCCCAATAAATTGAGCCGCTCTCCCGATTCATGTTTTATGATTTTGCGCTGCTTGTTGATTTCCAAACCAACTATGGGGTCACGTTTCAGGTTATAGATCTGCAGGAGGGAAGGGAAGGAGAAAGAGGCAAGTCATGTGAACGTTGTTACCTAATCTGCAAGGATAACTCTTCTTAAGTATTGATTCAGCCAAGCTGTGAAGCTTTTGTTGGTATTGTGTACTCCTATAATTGCCAGCCTAGAAAACACCTGGTTGTCTGGAAATAAAAGAACATTTTGTATGCATTCCTTTTTATTGGGGCTTAACTAAGTACGGCATCTTTTTATCCTTTTAACGGTCTTGTATTATCCAGACACCTCTGTTCCCAACTCTTAACGGCCAGAAGCTCAAAGACTCCAAGACTCAAGGTCTTTAAAAGACGTTTAGATGTAGAGCTTAGGGATATGGTTTAGTGGAGGACTGTTAGTGTTAGGTCAGAGGTTGGACTTGATGATCTTGAGGTCTCTTCCAACCTAGAAATTCCGCAATTCTGTGAGATCCTTACCCAGTGTCACTCCAGTGTGTAGCAGCCCCCTTCTGTCTCTGGCTGAATCAGCACACCCATGTGTCCCAGCACAGTGTAGCCTTGCTATTCCAGACCGAGTCAAAGAGGGAGGACATACACATAGCACTTTGGAGATCTGGCCAGCTACTTGCAGTTCTAGAGCTAACCTCCTTGGATTGACTTGATTGGGTCACCTCTGTGCCATGAGGACATCGGTCAAAAATTTCCAGCCCTTCACTGGGCATAACCCATCATTTCAAACTCTGGTTTTGAGAAGAAACCGGTCAGAGTGGAAACAATATGCAAAACTAGCTGAAAAGGAAAGACTTATTGTTTCATTTTAGCCATTGGCAAATTATGGTGGTTTGAATCAGAGACCAGCATTGACGCCGTGTGAAAGGCCAGATGAGCAGAAGCTGTCCATGCCAGTACTGGCAGGCTTCTCAGCACAACCCACAATACCAGCCAAGAGGCAAGGGTCTGAGTCTTTATGCCTTCCAGTGTAGGCAGACAAAGATGCTGGCACCCAGCAGCTCTTTAAGCTGTGTCAGCACTTTATAGCATGAGATGTCTTACGAGAGACTACTCCACTCTTTCCCATGCCATGGACCAGTACCTCTGGGGGACAGCACCCTTGTCACACACGTGTGGCAGTGCTCCATGCTGTGAGCACGTATGCACTCTGGGAGACACATTCAGCAATTGGTGAGCTATATTATCAGCTGTCCTGCTTCATTCTCAGTTCCTGAACACTACGTGAGAAAACCTGGTAACAATCAGCCTCTGGCCGGCTGTGTCTCAGCAATCACCAGTGATGCTGCTTCCCTATGACCTGCTTCCAAAGTGATGTTGGCTCAGTGTGGGAAGTTTGCTTCTAAAGCATCAGTCCTGAGCCCTCCTGAATTTATAGCACAGGTCACTGAACAAACATATCTGAAAAAGCACTTTTCCACTGAGACTGTCTGGGTCAATACAAAGTTAGCACATTGTGACAGGGACATTCACAGGAGAAGGAAATCTCAGCAGCTGGTGAAACACAGCAAGAACGCATTATCTACAGGGTAAGGGGAAGGAAGTCAAGGGATAGCAGGACCAAAGTCACTGCTCTGACACAATAGGATACTTTTCAGGAAAGGGCAGAATCCTACCTCTTCCTCCTCTAATGTCTGACACTCGGCGCAGCACAGCCCTTCTGGGAAAAACAGCTTCATATCCCGGACAGCTATTTGATAGGATTTGGAGCCTGAGAGATAAATACAATGAGAAGATTCTCTCAGGCCATGAATTAAACATTCTCTGGACTCACACTCATCTTCCTGAGAGATTGATGATGTGCAACTTACTGAAGTAATTGCTTTAAAGGCCAGCTGTTCCGTACAGTAATAGCAAACATTTAAAACCATTATATTTAGAATAGTTTCATTGCCTCCTTGGTATTTTGATTCTACTCTATTATCACGCAGCTTGTTCTACATGTAAACAAGACTCCTTTTTCCTCACAGTGTAGTCAAGGGAAGCATGTTAAGGAGCCAGTGAAACTCTTCAATACCAGCTCTAATCCCCCCATTTTTTTTCTCCCGTGCTTCTGGATCACACCAGGCTACTCTTAGAATCACAGAATGGTTTGGGTTGGAAGCGACCTTAAAGATCATCTGGTTCTAGCCCCCTGCCATGGGCAGGGATACCTCCCAGCAGACCAGGGTGCTCAAAGCTCCATCAAACTTGGCCTCAAACACTTCCAGGGATTGGGCATCAATGACTTCTCTGGGCAGCCTTTCCCAGTGCCTCACTACCCTCATAGTAAATAATTTCTTCCTTAAATCTAATCTAAATCTACCCGTTTTTTAGTTTAAAGCCATTATTCCCTTTCCTATCACTACATTCCCTGACAAAGAGTTCAGTCTTGCTGAATGGGAAGGAGTTACTAGATAGTAAAACAAGTGTGCTTCATAACCATGATGTAAGCCCAAATATGCTGGTGATGTGGGTGTACAACAGGGCAACAGAAAACATTACGGTCCAACAACAGTTGGAGGTCTTTCAGAGGTCTTTTCCAACCTAAATGATCCTGTGATTCTATAATTAGTATGAGATATTACTGATAGCAGTATATTATTCTGTTCACCTGTGGTCACAAAAAGCAGACTGACATTAGAAGAGGTACAAAGAATGAACGCGAGGATCAGAGAAGGAATGGAGAATCATCTGAAGAGTTAAAACTAAAAGACCTTGGGTTGTTAGATCCAACATAACAAAAAGATAAGAAGCCTGATTTCTGATAAATACATCAAGGTGAAAAGGTCAGAGAAGAAAAAGAACTACTTAAAGTACAGGTACTGGCACAAGAACAAATGGATGCAAGCTGTTTATGACTATGTTTAAATTTGAAAATGTAATAAGATTTCCAGGTACCACAGCTGTGAAGTTCTCTAACAGCCATCCAATTGGGTGAATGCTTATGAAAGTGAATTGATGATGGGGCTGCCAGTGATAGCATTAACTCAACTCAGGGGCTTGAGAGGTCCCTCCAGTTTAGCATTTAAATATTATCCTATAAAGCAACACTGTTATAAACCACTACTCAGAATGTTTTGAGATTTGTGGGTGGAAAATGTTTAAGAAGGAAAAGCTATTTCTATGTAACTGGAGTTCAGATAGATTGTCAATGTGCTGGCACAGATCCATCCTCCTGGGATACAAATATACAAAACGCAGATATCTTCTGAAATATTATCATTTTTACAGGCTACATGTTGCAAAAATTCTGCCTTGCTGCTCCTAGATCACTCAGCCCTGTGTGGAACTTCATAACTCTAGGTATTGTATAGCTGGAGTCCTTAATGCAGTAGTTTACAATCCTGAGACTGTGTAAGTAACCAGTGCATAAGTCACGCCATATTCTTTATGTACCTCTATGTCAAATCTTTCTTGTTTAAATCATTGATGCCGTTACAAAAAGGACACAAATGCTTTCAAAGCAGAATAGCAATGTTTTGCTCTCATTCTGCTCAAGGTGTAAGATTGTATAGAATGCACACACAGAGCTCCTTGGGTTCAAAAAAAAGCACTACGCAGTGACTTCATAAGGCCTGGAGGAGATGGGAGGAATGCAGGTTTACCTCTGCAGCAGAGCCTCAGAGCACTAAAACTGTACTACTTGGTTTGACTGTATCACTGGAAGCTGGTCTTCATCTTACTTAATTTCCCTAGTCACTTCCAAAGGAAATACTGAGGGTTTGTTCCATTTCAGCAAGATGGCATTGGTTAGAGATCTTCCTCAGCTGGAGCAAAACTGAGGAAACTTGGTATTCCCTCCTAGGAAAGCAGTATTTTCTACAGTCCCCCAGATGATCACTTGTGCAACGACTAAACTCTTCCTGCTTAACTTGTAGGCAAATGTTTCTCCCTTTTTGAAGGATAAACTCTTGGAGGTGCAAGGGGTTAAGAACACACCTTTCCTTAGGGACAGACTCCTCCTTAGCATAGCAGCTGGATCAAATTCCTGAATTTGAGTTGCTGTGTACATAAACTACAGCTGCAACAATTTTCCTTGAATGTGTGCAATTACAGCTTTGTGAGCCATCCGTATAGCTGGCTCTAATACACTAATACACAATCTGGTCTCAGCAGGCAGGTGCTGGCCAGCTAGTTCAGCTCTGTGCCCAGCCCAGCCTTGGGAGGAAGCAGAGATCCGAAGGGAATCCCGAAGCAGACATCTGAGGGTTTCTCTAACACACAGCTCTCTTGCTAACAGAGTAAAGTAACAGAGTTAAGCTAGGCAAGCTCTAAGTGTAGCATGGGTACATTAAGTTTGGATATATATTACCCATGACTGATGAGTTCTCATTCTCAAGGCAACATGGAAAGGCAATCCATTAATCTTATGAGCAAAAGAAGCAGGGGCTGATAACGGAAAAGTACTGGCTGAAGAGCTCTGACCATTTCTTGTGTAGGTAGACCCTGCTCTCCTGTCACTCCTACAAATGAGATCCTGTAAGTAATTACGGTAAGAGATCTCTCTTGATTTATCTTAGTCCTAAGGATTATGATCATATCTGACAAAATGACATTCTAAATCAAGGGGTCGATTCTCTTCCCCAAGCCGTATGTGGTGGATATATTGGTGGTTGGGGGACAGTTAGACCAGATGATCTTGGAGGTCTTTTCCAACCTTAACGATTCTATGATACTTTTTTCACTACCAGTTCTCCTCTTTGATATGGTCAAAACGAGGGAGTGATCTGACAGTACAGAATACAATAAAAAGAGCCAATTAATCCAATGGATCTTGACAGGAACCTGAAAGCATACAGTCCCTGCTAGCTCACCTGTGTTTATGTTTATTGATTTTACTATTAATATACTCCTTTAACTACATACAGCACAAAGAGCACCACACTGAGAAAAGCAAACTACTCATGGGCAGTCAACTAATGATTCCTTAGGAATTTTTAAATTACATCCTTCCCCCTCCCCCCTTGGGAAGTTTCCCCTTCCCCCTCTCCTACAATACCCTTAGTTCTTCCTAGTTCTCTCTCTGGCAATACATCCCATTTTCCCACCCTTCACCCATACTCTCAGCTATCTTCTATCTCACCCACCCAAAATATACACTGCAACATCCTAGCTCCCCCTCCCCTTTCTTCCACCTGCTGCTGGCAGATGAAACTGTGGCTGGTTCAGCACACTGAGGATGCTGACTAGCTTGCATGCCTCTGCTGATGTGCCAGCTGGCAAGAGTGTCCCTTGGAAAACAGCTGAGTTTACCTGCTTTCCTCATTGGGAGCAATTTTTGATCACCTCTTTCTACCCAGTCATTAATGTTTTGAGACGCTAGAGGAGCTCACTGTCCTGAAGACTTTAAACCCTCTGTGAAATCTGGTTGCAATTGGCCAATGGCTTACATGGTTATCAGGAGGGGACTCACAAGCAGAAAGAAGACAGATGGGTTCTTGGGGATAATTACAAAATGGCCAAGCAGTGAAGAGATCAAAGGAAATCTCTTCTGAAGGAAGACAGATCTGGGGCTGTTCTGAGAAGATGACTTTTTGATATATCTTCTGGGAGAATATTTCATAGCTTGAGACATACTCAGCTCTGCCACCAAGAAAACAATGAAAGCTTTCTAGGGAATAATGGCCTGCCTGCTAAGGCCAGATCTGTAGTGATGATGCAGGAGGGAAACAGTACATAACGTTTTTTCTATTTGCACATCTGAGCCTTCAGACTTTTCTTTTACAAAAACCTACCATAAAATCCATTTTGGACTGTGCTGATGCCATACTGAGCCCTCCAGAGGAATGGATCTAATGCTTGGGCCACTTTAGGATCCTCCGGCCCCAGTAAATCTATCAGCTTCTTCACAGCATTTGGTCTTTGAAGACAAAGCACGAGAGAAGTGCCTGAGGTAAGGTAGGTACAATGAGCTTCTAAAACAGCAGGATCCTGAAAAGAAATAATGGAGAGGGAACAGATTATAATAAACAGTGCAGGTGAGTCCTGGATACATCCCAGCTTTTCCTTTGGCTATAACCATCTCTGTTTGAAGCAAACAGATCTGCCGTTATTCTTTGCTTTCTCTCCTCTTTGCAACGTGCATGCTAGCAGCCTCTGCCAGCAGAGCTTCCAGAGCATATACCACAGTCACCGAGCTGGCATCTGCTGTGACAATCACCTGGTAATAGTAGGTCTAGTTCCCATCCTGAGTACACATGGAGCTAAACAAAGTTAAATACTGAGCTTGTCTTGTAGCTGTAAGCAGCTCATGATTTTAGTCCTCAGGTTCACGGATCAGCCAATGGCAGTTCTTACACATACAAACTGCTTTTGCATTAATTTCTTAAAATTCTTTAGTAAGAAAGAAAACAAAATTGTGTTTCTAAAAGAAAGAAAAGCCTTGTGCTGTGACTTGTTCTGGTGATCTGCACATGCTAGGCTGGAGGTGGAGTTCATTTTTAGTGGGTAAATACGAATATAAACTGCTACTCTGCAGTTTAGTTGCGCACTACCGAACCGTTGATTTGTGAAATACCCTTTTCACAGTACCTTCAGCATGACGTTCAGGTAGGGAAGCAACACACGTGAGCAATATCATGGAGGTCATAAACGTTCTGGGATAAGGAGCCATGTTTAGTTCTGCTTATATAGGATGCTAGACTACAAATACCAGAACTCTTCTTTGATTTCACAAAAAGGACCCCCCAGCCCCAACACACACCCCCTGCTGCTACAGCCCAGCCTCTCCTAGAGGGTGGTACAATTTCATGCACTCGTCAGAATCTGGACCACAAAAACAGTGAGCTTAAAACGAGGATGCTCAGGACAGGGCACTAGGCTGAAAGAAAACAGCTTGCCCTCCTGGCTTTGCCACTGATGTACTGTGTGCTCCACGACAATTTTCTCTACCTTTGTTTCTTTTACACATGTTGCCAGTTCACCCTGAGCAGAGATATTTGTTACACAGCTGTGCAGGTCACAGCACCCTGGGATCTTTCTTCAACTCAGGATGAGTGGTAAAAACAACTAGCAGCCACTGCACCAGCAACCAGAGACCAATTTGTTGGCCAGAGACAGACATAATGAGTGAGAAACCCAGGGAAAGGTTGCAAGCGCCTGGGGCAGAAGGTGGCTGAGCAGCAGAGCCGTCAAGGCCAAGCTGACTATTTTCATTAAGCAAAACCTTGGAAACCCAAGCTTGTTGCAGATATTTCCACTGAGTGCGAGGTCAGGGTGTCCACAGCAGCTGCAAGCTGCCTCTTCCTGCTCCCTTCATCTTAAAAAAGTGGCAGAAGCACACGGGTCTGCCTCCCTGCCCTCCAAATGGCAAAGTGCAGCAACACCAGCGCTGCCGAGCAGCTCCAGGGCACTGCTGTGTGCTCTTTACAGCTTACAGACAACATTTTCAGCTTGCTGGCTGAATCAAGCTATGGTTACTTGCTTTTTTTTCCCCAATTTTTAAAGAAATTAAAACATAGAGGGAAAAACTCTTGCTTGATTCAACTGAATAACATCATTCAGCCCCCTAAAGATTTTCATTCCTCTCTTTTTTAATCTTTTGAAAGCACCAGAGAATGACAGTTCTCTAGATAAAGCATTTCCGAAGGAAAATCCTATCATTTCATTTAAAAAAATGAAGATAAAATACTTCAAGGCCTCTTTTGTTTTTCTATCATAGGAACCCATTCACTGACTTTGACCCAAATCTTCTCACACTCACATTCCTCCTAAACTATATTTCTAAGCAGGCTACAAATTGAAAATCACTGGCTCAATCCTGGTATTTGAAAATGCAAAATGATCCATGAGACAGACCCATTCTTAAGCTGGTTAGTCAGATAAGAGATTTGATACAAGTTGTGATATTTGGCAGGCCACCCATCCCATGGAAATAAAGGGCAAAGGAAACTCTGGGATGGCAGTCACATTGCATGACTGCACATGAGAAACATACGGGGAAGTTTCACAGGCTGTGTTGTGATTAGAATGCTTCTGTTTAGATTAGGATAAAGAGTTTCAGCATGTCATAGCATACTGCAAAATTCTGACATTAATTCAGTTCTGTATAATACAAAATAAGCCCTTTTTGCTTGAAAACTTTTGATAGTTTAAAAAATATGCACATAATCCACTTTTCCAAGTAGTCATCAAGACTTCTCCTTGGGAGATGAAAAACAATGATGACGTCTCCATGAAAACTTTCAAAAGCTCTGGACAAAACATATCAACATTCATTTGACTCCATGTCAGACACATCTGCAAAAGAAAATGTTCAAAGACAGTTTCTGTTAAACAGAACATAAAAAAATGAAATTGTTTTGTTCCAGAGCTTCTGAACAGTGCTTTTAGATTTATGTAACAAAAGCCTTTTGTTTCTGTATCCTGTCTTATGAGCAGGCTTGGGGTTAAAGACTGTGTTGTTTCTAACCGCTAGCAATGGTGTCAGTGAGTCAAGGTGACTTTTTTCCTTCTTATACATCCTTGTATCCGGTCTAGACCCTTCCAGGCAAATGATGCTTTTATTTACATCCTGCCTCTGCACTGTCTTCAAACCGTGTCCTTGCTGATACCCGAGCAGCTGCAGCGAGATTGCACATGTGCAGCTGACTCGAATTCAGTGAGCAATTTTGTTGATGCACACAGAGAGGAAGTTCCAGCTGTGTGCTGGCTCTGGAGGACTAACGGGATTAAAACACAGCAAAACTGTCCTTCTGCCTCTGCTGTTAGACTCACAAGACAGGACTGGAGGGAAGCAGTCAAGTTATTGAGTCCAGTGACCTGCTGCCACTGGCAACCGTATCAGGTAAATTCCTGAAAGATTGATCAGCTTCCATTGTAAAATCAGGCTCTCTCTCTAGCAGCTACAACTGTGAGTCTCTGCAGTTCTGGATCCTGGATAAGTGCAGACAGGAAAACCAATCAAAACAGGCAGAACTCCCTCTGGGAGCAGTTCCTTCTCACAATTTCAACACTATTAGTGCCATGGTAAGAGCTGAGAAGACAGTGTCAGCTCTGTTTAGCTGACCTTTGCTTTTATTATTATTATTAGCCTTCAGGTAAAGAGCATTATTGTGATTAGACAATCTCAGCAAACAGCGAACCACCCCATCCACCCCATTATTTATCATAGCCCAATGGCCAAAAGCTACTAAGAAGCTGACTGCTAGTATTTAAGTTGAAAAAGCAATCATGTTGCTGAAAGCATGTTGCTGAGGATATTCATAAATGTGCATGTAAATAACACATTTGAAAGAGGAAGGAGATGCTAGGTATTGCTACCAGTGACTAAACCCCAGATTTGATACAAAGTACTATGGACATAAACGAAACTGGCACATGGCACAGCACATGGGAGTTTCTAGAGATTATTTTAGAGATGGATTTTGGATCAGAATCTGGGTGAGGAAGAGACAGAAAGCCTGGAACAGAACTTCTAGAAGGGCTTGACACTGGCTCCAAGCTCTTCAACAGGAGATGCTAAATCTCAGCGATCTGCCTCCAAGTTAAGAGCCTCTTTTTAAAAACAGCCTTGTATCCTGTTGTCCCCTATGCTGAGAGACAGATCTACAACGAACATTGCTCTGATTCAATTGCTTATATGAAATTCAGCTGTGAAAAATAATTCTGCCCTCACCAGCTGCCATTGTAACAATTACAAGCCAGATTTTCAAAATAATCCAGTCCCTGAAGCATGCTGAAGCTTTCTGAAAATCTTACCTGTTTGTCTTGGGAGCCCAAACCATTTTAGTCCACATGACTAAAAGATTTTTGGACATGTTCTAAAATGAGGAGGAGCCCCTGTACAATAGCAAACATTTCCTACTGCCCATTGCCCATTGCCAAAGGCAGTCTATTATCACTGCTTTCTCACTTTCAGAACATGCTTTTTTCCATGAACAAAACCCCAGTACTCTGTAATTTTTAAGCTCATTAGTCACCAGCTCTTCAAGGAAACTAAATCAATGCTCAACAGCTGCTCCAGTGTGTTAGAGAACTCTTAAAAACAAGAGAAAATTTTCATGAAATAACTTCTTTTCAAATTTACCCTAATATCTACATTACTTCCCAAGGTAGGCATTTCGATTTTTTTTAAACGTCTTTTGTTTCAGATGATCAACTAAATATTATTGTGTTTCATCACGTGATTAAAAACTTTATTGGAAAGTACTTCCCCAGCAACTCTAATAGGCACTATACTCCTCTTATCAAAGATCTGCAAATATTTAAGTATCAGATGCTTTTGCCTGATTCCTTTGCTATTATGCAGAAAATATTATTTTTTTGCTGATAGATGGTTATGTTAGAACACTGTCCTGTGATATTTCCCATCTTCTTCTGGAAGACTATTATGAATTCAACTTAAGAGTAATATCCACTAAAAAGTCTTGTTCTCTGTAAAAGTTAATTGGTTGAGTATCTTCAGGAAAGCAATCAAATAATATTTTTTTAAAGAACAACAAAAAAAACCTCCTCATTTCCTGATTTTCACAATACCTTTACGCTCAGCTATCATCTCAGAATATTTCAGGTTGGGCAAAAAATGAATTTCTAATGCTATAAAAGAGCAGAAACAAACCTATTTTCAGCTAACAAAAACCTTTAACGCCCCAAGGTTTAAAAAGCCTCTTTATTGTCTGTTAGACAGTAGAATTGACAGCAAAATAATTTTCTCTCTTTGCAGGTCATTTTTATAGACTCTTGCACACATGCTTCTGGAACAGAAACTCAACTGTAGATGTAATGTAATGCCATACTGTCACTGGGCTCTGGAGGTATATATATTCTCTGGCAGTGCAAGGAAATGTTCTCCAGCTCCATGGTTGGAGCTGGATGGAAAACCAGGCACACGGGCAGGGAGGGCAGTACACTTCTTGAGGTGCCCTACCTGGATTGATTGTAGGGGAATAAACAGGGGACACCTGCTTTGCAGTTAAGAGTCAGCATTGTAAATTAGCAATTAAACAAATTCTTGGGAGGTCTGTATCACCCATGTCCTCTGAACTTTTGTTTTAGAGAAACTAGGTCTGCTTCTTTATGGCATACGATAAAAGAAACTGTCAGCCTGTCAGCTTGCTTTGTGCATGGTATTGTACAGATATGATTGTTCTATATAGCTCACTTCTAACAATAACTAAGAAATCCCGGATGGGAGTTTTTGCTCTTTCAGGAATGGATTACTCACTAGCTCACATCTTTTCCCATTCTAAACCTAAGCATAGCTGTAGATCTGCCAGTTTCGTAACAAACCTGCTTCACTTCAGAAGAAAGGAGTCCTAAGGCAATGTCTGGTTCCAGGTGTACATGTTTCATCGCAACCACAGTGAATTTTTCTAGGCCTATTTTTTGGAGGATCCTTGCAAGACGATGGCTCCAGGCACCAGGTTTGATCAGCAGCACTGTGCAAAGGATCTGAGCTCCTGTAACAAAGCACACTAGTCAAACCCAAAGCTGCTCTTAAAAACAGAGGCAAAGCATACAGCAATATTTGTTTACTAGCCAGGACAGATATCTCTAGAAGAGGGTTATCTAAAAGTTGGCATGAAGTTCATAGAGATTTGAACCAAGCAAGTCCATAAAAAAGCTGTGTACATATATTTATCTAAAGAAAAAAAAAAAAAAAAAAAAAAAAAAAAGCTAGCTGTAACAGTTTGGGCTTGTAGATTTTTTTTTTTTTTTTTTCTCCAGGAAATCTGCCATATCTACAAGTCCAAAAGGTTTATCTGGCAGGTCTGTAGAATGAGACTCCATCCTTTGTATTATATCTGAATGTTTTGAGCAGGATAAAATATTTCCTTTTACATTTTTCATGTGAATTGTAGTGATTATGTGATAAAATCCTTCAGGCACCTATTAAATTCTTATTCCTCATAGTTTATCTCTCAGAGCTCTGTATCTCTCTGTTAGAGCTACGTTTCAAAGAGGCACTAACAAGTATGACAGGTTCCAATTAACGTTATAAGCCTTATTATGAATAGGATTGTGTTTACTAAAATTGAGATTTCAGCAAAAAGTTTTTGCTTCTGACAGTATTTCCCCAGCAGGACTGCCAGCCAGGTGTAGCACACAGTGTGCTACGACAAACAGAACAAAACGGACCAAGATAGTTTTGCTATCTGACAATACAAAATGTCTTAAAAGGCAGAAAATTCATAAATTACATTTTTAAATGACAGCATTTTCAAATTATTAGTTCTACTAATCTAAAGCACTGTCTAAAATCTAAAGCTTTGTATTAATGGGACTGTAGTTAAGATTTTATCCTAATAACACCCCTTGAAGATTTATTAGCAACTGTAGTGTCGGAAGCAGTCAGCTAGGACCCATTAACTGCTGGTGCCCAACCATGTCAATTAGCATGAAGCATGAGGTAACAGTACTGCAGGCTGTTCAAATTGATCCATGATTATCTGTTTGTGTACATAAAATGTCATTTTATATTTCCTATACACCCCATTCCTAATTATACAGATGTCGATGCAACGAAGCATCAACCATGCTGCATATAATGTGATGCATACTGTTATTTTCAGTTGGCAAGAGGCATGTTGCTGATTCAGTGACAGAGAAATATGGGATCAAAAATAAAAGGCAGGAATGCTGCCCCCATTTGATATGGAAACTTAACCCTTCTCCTGCACCAAGCCCTCATATTAAGGAACTGCTGCTTTTTTGCACATATTTCTTGAACAAGAAGGTTTAAATGCCATAGCAACAGCCTGCAAGTGCAGAAGGAAGCCGTTCGGATCCACTCAGCTGCTCTCACACAGAACGGCAATCTCAACTGCATACGGTTACATAAACCTTCATTGTCCTCAAGACGTTTTACTCACCATCTGCTATGTTTCTGGGCAAACATTCTCATTCTTGTGGTGTGTGAATCACTACATGCTGCATAATTATGTACTTTAGACACTTCAGGAGGGGATTTATCTTCTCTCACTTTACCTTCTTGGTCTGGTCAAAGGCAAGTGTCTAAACCAGGTGGGACACGTTGTCACCTAGAGTTGGTTTTCTCTCCCTGGTGACTGTTAAGCGACAACATTTGATAACATACTGCTGTTTATCAACGGAACAGTCTCTGTTGATCATGAATTACCATGAAGGCCTGTTTGGCAGCCCTCAGACATGCCTGATTTCATCAGTTCTGGCTGTTCAGTGGCCTTTCGGGGTTTGCCCAAGTTTCCTGTCTTTTGTTATGTTTTTCAGCACCGTGATATTTTTAGATCCTTTCCTATGGCCCATGATTGGGCCACCCTCCTCCCCTAATTATTTATATGGGTTTTGATTTCATAGTGTAACAGAACCACAGCACTGGATCTCTTTTATATACTATTTATATACATAAGACACAAGCATGTTAAAATAAGTGTAAACTCAAGACAAGCAGATATCAGATTTCCTGACATGTTTAGAAAAGCGAATGTATATCACTGCCAGTATTCAAGGCTAAGAAAAAATAAAATCTTTTCACTTATTTTTTGCTGGTACACCTACACGAGCTAGGTCCACAAAGGCCTTATTAAGCCACATTTTCCAATTTGTTCTTCTCTCACCTGTTTGCAAGTAGGTAAACAGTGATTCTTCACGGCATCTCTGGCTCTTTTCTGCTAAATGAAATAAGCAGATAGATCTGATTAATAAGTATGTATGTTCTGGGACAGTAATTTGAGAATAGTGCCACCTCCTCTGCATAATGCAACCAACACTGCTATGACATACATTTTAAAATGCAACCCTGGCACATGCATGGCTTGATTTCAGACATGGTTGGGAATTCAGTTGTACTGGGACACCCTGGGAGATGTAGTACTTTTCACTTCTCCAGACAGCCCAATAGCATATACTGAAAAAGACCACAAATACTAAATTATGTTGATTTTCAGTTATATTTTCTGCGTGGGTTCTTTCTTAGTCACCATTTCAGGGAGCAGCTAAAACAGTTTTAAACCAACTTCATGCTGCCAGTATTTCACAGTCGAGTTGGAAGCTGCCATGAAACTCAGACCTGTTTCTCCTTCCCTCCTTCCCTGCCCCGGAAGCAAAGAAGGGCTGAGTATTCTGACTACACACCTAGGCAGCACTGATCTGTGGTTCAGTCCTCTCCCCAGCTCTGCTGATGAAACCTCAGTGACATTCCCCAAACAGCCAGGAATGGTTAGCTTCAGTGGTTCCTCATAAAAGCAAGGCAGTGCAAAAGGAGCCTGGTATGAGTAAGTTAGGTCTTCCAACAAAAGTCCATATAAAAATGTTTTTCCTTCAGTTTAATGTAAAACCTGCAGTGACCCAGAGAGGTGAGGAAAATTTACAACACCTCAAGGCATGTGTGAATTGAGAAGTTAGCTAGGACGAGGGTGCAATGAGGAGAGACTTGCAGACTGATAAAGGACTTCCTTTTCCAGTGATCTTCATTGGCAAGTTTAACCAAAGAGACATACAAGGTAAATAGCAGAAAACTAAAATCTGCCTGTCAAAACAAAATCATCATTTTTCACTGTCATCAATATTTATTACTGTCTGAAGTCCATGCATTTCTATTTCCCAGAGCAACATATCTGGTAGGTTATCTAGCTGAAATGTTTTTGTTTTTAATTTTAATGAGATTTTTTTTCCCTTTCCAAATGTATTTCTCTTATTTTGCTGTAAATAATAAGAATGAACATATAAGGTGAAACCACCTCCTTGCCTCATAGCTCCCATCCTCAAAACGCCACTTTTTTTCCTTTAGTATTAGGGTCAGCTGAAAACTTCTAGCATCTGTGAAGTGCCTAGTGACGTGCATGGCAATGTAATGCAATGAGCAGAGCCCCTGGCTGGGACTTGGGAAATGAGCATTCTGCTCTGATCTCTGTCACTCGCTTATTGGGAAACAGTGACCAACACATTTCACCTCTCTAGGCTCCAATTACCATTGCTGTAAAATGACGAAATGCATATTCTTCAAGACCTACAGCTGAGAAGTACTACTAAAGAGCTGGGATTAATTACTCTTCTAGCCTACATTCCACAGCAGCATGAGACAGGTTGTCCAGGCATGCAGAGAAGAATTGTGCAGAATAAAGGCAATAATACCACCTTCCCCCAGTACCAAGTAGACTTATCAGACCTTTTCTTCTTAATTGCCCAGGATTACAATGTCTAACAATGGGTTTACTACTCCCATTTTGATGACTCCAACGTAGAGGATGTAGAGTTATTTTTTCTTGAATCTATTTTAAGAGTAAAAAAATATTTTTATTCAAGAAGCAATTGGTGCATACTTTTAATCTTACCTTCAGCCCTGGATTTTTTTCTAGGTGGTGGCAGGTATTTTGTAGCAGGGCGGTACTCTGCATCTGTAAAAGGAAGGAAATGTGCTTTTACAGATTCACAGATGGAGAACCTTCACTGGGGAGGCAGGGGTTGAGGAAGGTAATTTTATTTAACAGGGCAAATGAGAGCTGAAGAGCTGTTCCATAGAATGAAGACCCTTCCACTCCTCCAACAACAGGAGGAAAAATGTAATGACCTTATAAAAGAGAGAGTGGAGGATGCTGAAGTCACAGTTAAAAGATGTGTTTGTGCTCCTTTGTTACCAACAATGGCTTAGGTGAGAAAAGCTGACACTGCGATTACAACCTCCCTCAACAAACTGATTTCAGTTCTGCCTGTTATCCTGCCTTCTGGTCTCAAGATAACCCCAACAAAGGACAGCAATACATGCAATCTTGCAGTTTCATGCAGTAATTTGGGATGTCTGCTGACTTGTTTTTTGAAGACCTCTTTTTCTTTTCTTGCTCTCCAAATTCACATAAAACACTCACATAGATCACTGTCAGACCTAACTTGTGAGACTAAAATGAGTATCTTTTTCCTGACACCACCACGTTTTCTTCTTTCTATTCAGTAAAGCCAGTTTGTTATTCTGCGCTACATAAGCACAGCATGTTTGAAACAAGCATCTAACTTGGTGTTGACAACAAAGAACCTTTCTTCCCCATGAAAGGATAGGGGAAGAGTTAAAACTACAAAGCATGAATGCACGTATGGAACTCCACCACTCCTTCTTTTGATACAGAGTGTTTCCACTATCCTGATTTATCTATGTGCCTGAACAATCAGAAATCATCAGGCTTGGAACTATTTATCTTTAGGTGTAAGGAGTCAGGCTTCCCCAAGAGCTTAGGTGACATGCTATGCTTCACATTACAAGAAAACAGTGGGAGCTCATACTGTGGCGGTCCAGAGCATCCAAAATGAGTAACACCTCAGTCCACACAATGATTTAATTTAAAGAGGTGTGGCTATACATTCCTTGCTGCAGGAAGAAACTAGCAGGTTTGCTATGCTGACAGATCAATGCAAGCATATATCATTGAAGTCTGAGAAGTTTTGACAACAAAGGCCTCCATTCCTCATGAACTGTTCATCCTGCTCCAGGATGAAAAGAAATTCTCAAGAAAAACTGTTCTCTTCATCTCTTGCAGATTAGGTAGTACCTTCACCTCCCTGAGTATAGGACAAGCTCAGGGCAGGACAGATCTTGGCCTCCATTTTCCAGTTGCTCTTTCATACAGAGGCAAAGTGCATAGAATATTATTTACTGGTCCTGCTAATTGTTGTAATATCTAGTTAGTATTAATGAAGTACCCTGAGATCTTCAGAAGGGGAACCAGGCCACACATAGCCACAATAAATAGGCCAACTTGTAGATGACCTCAACTGGCTCCTGGTAATTTCATATCACTGATCATTCAGCCAGCTGAAGAACTTAATCCCAGATTATTAAGTTTTTCCGTGCCATAGCAAAACAGGTAGAAATGGATTCCTTTATCCAAGTGCAATGAATTCCCAAACACCCCATACCCGAGAACATTGTAAATGGTAAAATATGGCTTACTAGTTACAAAATCCTTCTCTGTGAAGAAGAGGACGGCTTGTCTGAACGTCATCTCTGGGGTCAAGGCCATTACTCTCTGTAGAGCACTCCCACTTTTGCTTAGCTCCTCCCTGTGCTGTGTTAATAGTTCCAGTGTGTCTGCAAGAACTTCGAAGGCATTGATCCGCCGTAATGCACACACAAGGACTGGGTTTGACATGAGTCTATCAAGGCTTCTTTGCCAGGAAGTATCTCCAACCTCAAAAGGGGTTATTTCTTTTGCCTGACATCGAGTGAGATAGGGCAACCATTTGAGACCTAGAAGTTCGAATCCTGAATCAGGTCCTTCTGCAAGTGAAAGGAAATACATTTAGTATCAACTGACAGCATGTGTTTCCTAGAAACTACGTTTTATACTGGAGAGAAGTGTTCTAAATTATGATTATTTTTTAACTAGACTAAAGTTCTAAAGTTGCTTTGACTTCAGTCCTGGTTGCATCCAAAATGGACTGTAACGCAGATATAGAAATATACTGGGGAAAAAAACACAAGATACAAATACTAGAAAATTACATTACAGTGAAAACAATAAATGGCCTATCTGGGAAATCAACAGGGAGCCAGAGAGAATAACTGCCATGATTTGATTAGAGAACACAGCAAATGGAGAGGAGTTGAAAGGGAAATACCGAGAATAGACTGATAGCTAAGTGCTTTGACACAACATAATCCATAATTATAGATCCTTTACCACCTCTTATAACATTCCATTTTAAGCTATATTCATTACCATAATAAGCTACAATTTAATGTTGACTTGTCTCTAAAGTAATTTAAAAATTATTTGTAAAGTAGTCTTACTTCCAATGTAACAAGATGTTTGGGGCTCAGTCCATGACTGCATGTTGCTGGAAGTTTCTGTTAGCTAGAATCTTCTCTTTGCCTACCATGGTACAGATCTCACTCCATACCATTGTTTCAAGAGAGTAGGATACATCAGAATAAGACAGGATGCCAGACTTCTGCCCTTTGTTAGTATAGTGCCTGTATTATTGAACTCCAATAAAATCTGCATCATGAAATTACATAAAATCATCCTGCTCAGCACTTGACAGCACTCTTCATGCATGCATTTATAAGCACTTAATGTGGGGGACAGCGTCATTATTCTTCCTGTGTGCGTGAGGAAATGAAGCTTGAAGAGGTGCAGTGTCTTACTTCTGATCACAAAGAATGTCAGTGGACCCAGAATAGAATTTGTGATTTCTGAATTCCTGTCACTCTGTCTCCCTTATACAGCTGCATTATCTCCCAATACTTAGGAGACAGGGAAAGACACAATACTCTGGATTACGCACATCTTTGAACTATTTTGACACTCTCTGAAGAAAATGATGCCCACTTATGCCAATGTCCTGTCTGTAATGTGAAAAGTGGCCTTGCCCATGACTAACCAGCCGTGATAAATTCTTTAGCGCTTCAGGCAGGTAAACAAAGAAACTGGTCCTTCCTGAGGCCCCGTTTACCACATTATTCATAATGTTCTGGCTATGACAAAAATAGCTGACAGGCTAGACTTCCCTGACTGACTTCTGCAGTCCTCCCCCAGAGCTGTGGTCACCTGCATTCTGAGACTGGTTACTGCTCCCAGGAAGAAGGATCTGGCAAAGAAGCTCTCCAGCACTCTTCAGAGCATCCACTCCGATCAGTGTCAGCATGACAACCTGCTCCATTTCAGGTTCAGAGGCATATATTCGATTGCAGAAAAGATACAGAGGAATGTTACAGGGGTCTGGCACTGCACTGAGGTTTCCTCCTGGCCAAGAGAATCATCAAAACAGACATAGTTACTGCCCAGAAACAAACATCCACTCTTTTTTTAGTGTAAAGGAATTGACTAATTCTCTATTGGGCAAACAAAGGCCAATGCCTCACCACGATGCTGCAGCTCAGCATGGCCAGAAAAAGAAGCATACTTGAGGAGCAGTATCACAGCAAATCCTTACTAATCAGTTGCACTCCTTAATTGGAATTGCTTCTGGCATGTAAAGCAAATATATTAAATCCTAATTTTGATATCCTTATTCACACTGTTGAGCAGAGTTGATAGATCTATACCTAAATTATTTAAGACATCAGTTTCAGATTGATAACTAAGGACTACCTTCACATTAAATTGATACTTCACTTTGTGTTCTAGGAGATCACACAGCATACAACTGAGGACTAATTAGGGGCCTGTTACCATATTATGCACATGTCCATGGTCTACAGCATAGCCTGCAAAATACCCTGCAGAAATCTGTGTTTGATTTTATACTGTTTCAACTACATGATTATTTAAGCAATTGTATAGATCAATATCCATGTACTTAGTTATTCCCACACCTTAACATTTCATAATGCTAGAAATATAGTGAATGGCATGCATTTGATTGTATTTCCTTAAGATTTGTTTTTGGAAAGCGGTAGACTTCAATTACAAATCCTGATATCCAACATTTAAAATAATTAAATAAAACTATATTAATCGGCTGAATACATAAGAAAACATTACCTGTAGTTATCAAAATAAACTTCTGATTGCTGTGACCTCCAGCTGCATAGAACTAGTATAGAGCTGTATAGAACTTAAAGACTCTCCTATCCGTCTGAGTCACAGATTTGTAAGAGAAGTTTACTTGCTTTTCCAAGTCTTACCAATTTCCCAGCTTTGAATGAATGAGTTACTGAAGTGAATTCAACTGTATAAACTAAAATTAAGAACATCTGAGTAAAGTGAAATGAAAAAGTGCCTTCTCTGCACCTACACAAGAAACTACAGCTGCTAACATTTATCACTTCAGCAATTTCTAGTTTTACATGCTAAATGAGCAATTTTTCTCATTTTAATACTTTGACTTCTCTTTGAAACTATGTCAGTAAATCCTTATTGATTGGATACTATTCATTTACTTATGGTAGGTTTAAGGCTTAATTGGTTGTTATCAGGTCATATTTAATTGTAAATAATTTATTTTTCCATATATATTTTAATCTACTTTTAAGATACTTCTATATCACTTTTCTAATGATCCTCACATTCATTACCCAGTGGTAGAAGACATCCACTGAGAGTTACTGTAATTGAAGGACATCAGAACACTGAACAAGTTATTGTAGGCAACAAGCATACATAACATCCTTGTTCAGGAAAATCCTCTAATAAAGATGTTGGTCCTTGTAAGAGACAGAACAATGCATTCCCCCTAGTCTTGACCTACCCAGTGCCTGCAGCAAGGTCTCGGTGTAAGGAGCCACATGAAAGCACACAGAGGGATCCAGCCCAGCAGTGGCAGGCAGGTTGCTCTGCTTGTCACCAAGGAGCCCTTGCTTTGCCAGTTCATTCATCAGTCCTGTGCACAGAACAAAGAGTGCATGAGGAATACATAACTCTGTGGTATAGTCTGACATGAAAACACGTTTATCAAATATTTTGATTCATCTGACCACAGAACCATTACAGAGACATCAGTGTGGGTTGTGCTGAGCTCACCTAAGAGATATGAAATGCAATTCTATCATCCTCTCTCCCCCTGCTCATATTCACTCATAGTTAGAAAAGTAACTTGAAAAATTGAGGTTTGGCCCAAGCTTCTCTGGAGACATCTCTGCTTTGTGACCAGGATCCCATTTGTTTCTATGACCTTCCAGCTACAGGAAGTTGACTGAATCGTGGAATGTACACATAGAAGATCCTACACAGCTCCTGAACTGCAGTAGGTGTCCTAAATAAGTTGGTGCCCACAAGGAAAAGATGTCACAAATCTTGAACCCAGAGTCCAGGCCTGTTTGAGTCCAGGCCCTCAAGGTCAGCAACAAGGCCAGTGTCCTGCATGCTACACAGTGCCATGTGGCCACAGGGGCATTGTGAGGATCAGACTTGAACAGAAACACCATGTTCTCTGCTCATGTACGTACCAGTCTAGAAAATATCTGATTCCACTCCACTTTTATTAATACTGAGTGCTGGAAACCAGTAATCCCTCAGCTCCCGTTCTTCCCCCAAAGGGCCAGGTGACACACAGGCAGTGCATTAAGGTACTGGCATACAGTACAGCTTCACAATTGGTTGTGTTCTGCAATAACACTTCAGACGTTTTTGAAAGTTTGTTATTTTTACAATTACTTTGCATATGTCTGATTGATTTTCACTGTACAAGCCTGTCAACAATTTACTGCAGCACGTGATGGAAACTAGATTATTAGCACTAGACATTGATGACAAACCTTAGATGCCAAGCGTGGCAGTGACACAGATTTGAACTTGTAGCATTGCAAATTGCCTGTCTGCTTTTTGAAATTCAGACGGGATGAATAACCAAAACTTCCCTCTAGTTACTAAAGAGGGCCTACAAGAAAGCTGGAAGAGGATTCTTTATCAGGGAACACAGTGACAGGACAACGAGCAATGGCATTTAACTAAAAGAGGGTAGATTTAGGTTAGATACTAGGAAGAAATTCTTCACTTTGAGGGTGGTGAGGCACTAGAACAGGTTGCCCAGAGCAGCTGTGGATGCCCTGTCCCTGGCAGTGTTCAGGGCCTGGTTGGATGGGGCTTTGGGCAACCTGATCTGGTGGGAGGTGTGCCCGCCCATGGCAGGGGGTTAGAACTGGATGATCTTTAAGGTCTCTTCCAACCCAAACCACACTTTGATTTTATGATTCTATAACATGTGCAAAGAAGGGCAACGAAGCTGGTGAAGGATCTAGAGAACAAGTCTTATGAGCAAAGGCTGAGGAACTGGGGTTGTTTAGCCTGGAGAAAAGGAGGCTCAGGGGAGACCGTATTGCACTGTGCAATTACCATAAAGGAGGCTGTAGCAAGGTGGCAATTCGGCTCTTCTCCCAAACACCAAGTGATAAGACAAGAGGAAATGGCCTTAAGTTGTGCTAGCGGATGTTTAAGTTGTATATTCGAAAAAAAATTCTCACTGAAAGGGTTGTGAAGTATTAGAGTAGGCTGCCAAGGGAAGTAGCTGTGTCACCATCATAGAATGTTTTGGTTTGGAAGGGACCTTGAATATCATCTAGTTCCAAGCCCCCTGCCATGGGCAGGGACACCTTCCACTTGATAAGGTTGCTCATCCCTGGAGGTCATGAAAAAAAAAACTGTCAACGTAGAGCTTGGTGACATGGTTTAATGGTGGACTTGGCAGTACTAAGTTGATGGTTGGACTAGATGATCTTAGAGGTCTTTTCCAACCTAAATGACTGTGATCCAAGAGTATTATATGCTGCCTGTTCCAACTTAGTGAAGAAAACCTTGGTCAAAAATTTATGGTGTTTTGACTCTCAAGCCAGAAATACATTACCTAAAGACACATATCCTTCTCTTCTGTTGTAGGAATGATTAAGTTTGCTTTGAAGGTTGAACAGGGTTGGACATCAAATGGGTGGCTACTTTTCAGGAGGCACTGATTAAAAATATGAAACTGTTTAGTATGGTATTTACCCTGCTCAATTCCTAGTGCCTACACTTCTCAGAGGCCAACCCAAAGCTTATGTGGGAATATCATCAGCTTCCCCTCTTCAGGGCTCTGCAATATGAAATAAGCTATCTTTCTGGATCACTTCTGAGGCAATAAAGGAAGACATAAAAGAGGCACTTGCAAAATCTCTCTACAAAGGGAAAAAAACAGTTCTCTACAATGGGGGAAAACACTTGACCTTTCCAGACTATCCTTTGTTCCAGTGCCCGCATAGATACTTCTAGTGCAAATTTTGCAGTGCAAAACAAACACTTTAAACATCATCTGGCACTTAGAGGAGAAAAAAAAAAAAAAAAAAAAGCTGCCTTTTTAATAAGCAACTTTCCTTAGGTCTACAGGCAGCAGGTGACACGGTGCTGTAATTAGTCTGCCATGATTAATCCACTGTGTCTGAACATGTTTTCAGAACATACTGTGATAGTCCTGGGAGAAAAAGCAGAGGACTTTTTGAAACTGTCATTTTTTTTTTCCCCTCAAACCTCTCAATGTTCCTTTCCTTTGTCCATGGATTAGAAGGGGCAATCAGGCAGTGGATGAACGCCTCCATCAGGAACTAGCTGTGGTGGTGTTAATGGAGGGGTCAAACCACTGTGCTGGGGACTGTCCAGGCTACACTGACCCACTTCTCCCAGTGGTGGTGACTAAAGGGCAGGTTGCAGAAAAATAAACACAGGAACAGACTCTCCTGCGACAGGCAACTTGCCCATTGCCAGAGCAGGAGGAAGCAGGCAGGGCAGGGTTCTTTGTTCTGCACTGATCCCTGTTGTTGTTTGTGATTTTCCCTAGAGATCAGCTTATCCTTAAGAAAACTAAACTCTCTTCCTGAGCGAGAGCATCGGAACAGAGTCTGACTCATCTAAGAAGATTTGGGGCAGCTACTTGTCTGTTCTTTGGCAGTCCCTGCATATAAAATGAGTTGCAGTTCAGATGCTTGGAAATCAAAAGCATGCAGAACTCAGTGCTGAGGTTGATAGGATCAGGTGCTATCCTCAGGCTCCATGACACCCATGTATTTTTGGTAGCATACTTCTCTGGGCAATAAGAATACCTGAGAAGGTTATTGATAAGATGAATACAGGACCATTATGAAGGTGTACAGTGGGAAGTCCAGAGACAAGGGTCAGGAATTCAAACAGAAGAGATTCCAGCTTGACATAAGGGAAAAACAGTTCCCTGTGAGCATAAGCAAGCATTGGAAGAGAGGCCCAGAGAGATGGGGGAATTTCTGTCCTTGCAGATTCTCAAGACCTGACTGGAAAAAGCCCTGATCATTCTGGTCTGAATTCACAGCTGATGCTGTGTTGAGCAGGCCATTGGGTGACCAACTTTCTGTTGCCCTCTGCAACATGAATTATTCTATGATCTAAGTCAAAAGATCTTAAGTGCTAAAGATCATCCAACTGACAAAGATTAATCTATTATGTAGGACACATAGCAGTGGCTGATTTACAAGTGGGCTTGGAGATACATATAGCAAAACTATAAATTCCTGATATTCTCAATAAATCTTTCCTGCAATGTAACAGATTTGGTTAGGCTTTTAATCTTTAGCTCACATGAACTGAAAAGCAAGCCTTCTTTTCTGAGGTTGTTAAGTGAAAGCATTACCTTTTACCAGTGCAGGAATATGGTGACTAGCGTTCTCCTTTCTCAGCAACAAAATGAGACTGTGTGTGCGTGGCTCAGCAGAAAGCTCTCCTCTTGCAGAACTATTTACAGGTGAACTTGAAATCTTTCTAGGGCAAAATACAGCAATCTGAAATAACAAGGACCAGATTAAACTACTAAATGCAGATTTAATCACTGTAGGGCTCAAGCAAATAGTTAAGTTACAATGGCATATCAAGATACAGCACACCAGCAGAGTCATAGTAACTTCCAATGACTGGCTGTTCATGCGTCATCTGTTCATGACACAAAGGAATTTAAACATCAGGGAAAAGGTTTAATAGAAAATGTTTTGCTCTACAACTGGGCTGGACTAAAACCACAACAATTACAGTGCAGCCAATATGTGGTACCATCCTAAGTCACTCATGCAATAACGATCTTGAGCCCTAGGTTCTGCAACAGCACCAGAGAACACATTAAAGCAATAGTTCCTGAACTTCTGAAACAGCCATTTAGGGAGCATGCTCCAAATATTTGGCTATTTTTACTATAGTAGTCGATAAATACTACTTTTATTCTATAAAATATTATGAGCAGGGAAAGTGTTTTTCCTCATGCTTGATTAAAGAACAAGCAGAAAATAGGAGCTTTGTGCACAGTTTAGTTTGCAAAATGATGCATTTATTGATTGACATAGGAAACAACTCCAAGCATGAAAATTTAAAGCAAGGGGTCCAGCTCTTTATAAGACAAACTGTCATAGGATTCCTGGCTGATTTATTTTGTAAGATACGCAGAACTTGACTTCTTGTACAGGTGAGTTTGACTGAAATCTTGCATTTATGATTATTTGTTTCTTTAGGCTGACATGTCAAAATGCCAACTGCACTCTAATTCAAATAAATCTATCATCATGTTAACAGACCTTGAAAGAAAGAAAAAAAAAAAAACACAAAACACTCCATTTTTGACAATAGGAAAGCTCTTCTCGCAAGCCATCTGAATGCATTACGCTAGGGGACTTCATTCTGAAAGGCCACAAGCAGACCCAGAGGGACAGCAAAGTACATAATCACACATTAGTCTGTTAGATGAAGACTATTCTCTTGAATATAGGTTTACAGGCCAGAGATTGTTATTTTGGTTTATGAGGTTACAGCCTGCTCTAGCTTATTTTGATATCAATGGAAAAATTCATGTTTACTTAGTAGAAGAAAGCCTGATCGTGCATTAGTCTCAGTGAGAGGCTTAGGCCTAGTGGGATTTTCCTACTAAAGAAAAAACATCAGTACTGAAAGCAACAAGAGCACCACTCGTAGGAATACAAGGAACACAAGTGCTGGCTAGCTAGTAGAGATAATGAAGAGAGAAGAACACTCAAGAACACTCACTACAGGAGTGTGTCAGTTCACACATCCATAAACCCACAGTATAATAAGTTTCAGAAATGGTAACCCAAAGCATACAAGTGAGCTGTATGTTCTGACCGGTACCTGACTTGTTGTCATGCTCAGCACAATGGCTTGCTTGGGTGAAAGCTGCAGCCGTCTGATTCCTTGCAGAAGAAACCCCCGATGAGTACAGACTGAGATCACATTACCACATGCATGAGGAGATACCACAGGCGACACCATCAAAATAATGTCCCCTAGGTCAAAAAGAGAGTAAGAAAACCAGCATGTTACTTCCACAGAAGCTGTGGTGTTACTGCAAGGAAATTCACATAGTGGCCAGTTTCTACTTGAAGCACTCTCCAAATGGAGATGCTGCATTTTATGGTTTATTTGCTCTATTCAGCTTATAATGGCTGCTGTCAGAGGTCAGCACAGAACGATAAAGCTTATGGCATTAGAAGCAATCTCTTTATGAATCAACCACTCCAGATAGTCTGTCTCATAAGGTCTATCTAGCTGTCTATGAGTTGTTATCTCAGTTCACGTGCTGGCTGTGTGTCAGCCCCTGTCAGGCTGTGTTTGAGCTGTTACCCTTATAGCTGGTCTGACTGCCGTCAGACCTGATAAGGACCTGATAAGCCTGGCCAAACTGATGAGTAACTAAATGAAGACAAGACTGACTGCTGGTTTGTCCACTGCGAAGTACATGAAGCAATCCCAGGCATTCCTCTCTGCTATTACTAGTGGTCCTAGCCTGTAGGACCCACAGCTTCTACAACCTTGGTCAGCACTACTTTCTGCTCCCTCTCAGCCCTTCTTTAGTCCTGTCCTTACTCTGCATCCCAGAGCTTGCCTTGTGGTATGGGCTACTGTACCTTTGGGCCAGCCTCTGATCACAACACCACCCCACTGTGTTTTTGTACCATCCATGGCTTCACAGGTTCCTATCTTTGGTCATCATAATGGCACCAGCCTGCTCTCTCCTTCCTGGGTTATCCTCCTGCCTGAGCCTAATGCATTAAGTCTGGCTGCTTGTGCTCTGCTTGCATCTCTCACTCCAATACATAAGCTCATAGAAACAACTGGAATTTATGTTGGGTTAGAACCTTGTGTGTTTTTTTTTCACTTCCGTTTTCTAAATTGAATCCCAAGCTCACTGTCAACACGGTGGAAATAGATGCTATGAGCTCAGGAGAAATAGCCCACAAGGCCTCCTGAACAGCGTACCTCCTGTATAGCGTCCTGCTGTACCTAAGATGGAGCTTCCCAGTAGCCTCTGATCTACCTAAGGCATTTGCTTTGTTCTGATCTTACTTTGGGTCTCTACTCTTACCATCTCCTTTGCTATTACACCGTCCTAGTTCTAACAGATTTTCTTCTCCTGTACATAACACACATTCAGATCTCTGTAACTTGCCAAGAGCTAAGAAAGTAAACGCTCAGTATCATTTCTACATGGGTTTCCTCTGTACTGCCCTGTTAATTTCTTCTACCTCTATCATATAATGGGGCTGAATATATTTTAGTTTCCGTGTCCCAATTACGCTTGGTTTTGGTGGTAGACCTATCAATAGTGTATGTTTCCTGGGCTTCTAAACTTGGTGACAGATATTTGTCCCCCAAGAACTTGACCAAGGCTCAGCCTGCCATTTCAAAGCAATAGCAACAAAACAAGGGAAAGCTTGTGTTTATTGTTAAGGATACAACAAGCAGAGTGTTACTTTGCCTAAAACTTCTATGTGGCTTTAATTTTGCAGGCTCTGAGCCAGGCTGACAGTGCTGCACTCATTATACATGAACTGTCAAAATTCAGGGTCGCAGGTGGTAAGATTTTGGTTCATCTCTAGTTGATAACACCTAAACAAACAAACAAAATTTCACATACACATATCCCAAATTAACAGGAATATCTGCTAGGATCAATAAAACTTTGATTACTGGGAAGGAAGGGGGGCAGATATACCTGGTAAGAGCAGCAGTATATTTGTTCTGCATGCTCTGCATGAGTGTATCTTCCTGTCTCAAAGAGAAGCTGTTGGAGACCTGAGGGAAGGAATAAGTGAATGTTTCTTTTCCTTAACACCCCATAGGGTGCCTGCTCCCAGTCCAGGTTTTCAGCTTCACTTTGAGAGTCATGATAGAGATGATACAGTTATCTGAGGAGCAAAGCTTGAAAGTGACTTCCTGAGCCCAAATACAGATGGAACGTGGTGTGGTGTAACTCAACAGCCCACATCAAATGTGAATCATTAATGGCCATAAAAGGAAGGAGATGCAAAAATGTGAGTCATTCCATCAGCAGCAACCAGCTGCCATCAATACCAATCCCAAATAACGCAGAGCCAATGGCTGTCTGCCAAGCTACTTGAATTAACATGCCCAGTTATACGAAAGAGTGTATCTCAAAGGTAAGACTTCACTTCCTTTCCTTTTCCCTTCTCTATTTTTCTTCCTGTCACCTTCTCTGTCACCTCTTTTTCATCTTTTTGGCTTATGCTTTCGTACCTTCTTTCCTTTAGCACCATAATTTTCTGTACTTTCTATGTCAATACAATCCTGTTTTCCTCCTGCCATCTTCTCTCTGACAGCTGCTGAGCTTCCACCCCTCCCACCCCCCCACTCTCCCTAAGGAACTGTCTTCAACTGTGGGAGTAGAAACAGGGCAGCAGTGCCCTAATAGCATCATCTCAAAATCATATGCATTTGAGATCTGCCATGCCAGGCCAAACTGCAGAAGCTTACCAGCATGTTGGCCTGTCTACAGCAGACACCCCAAACCATATAGACCCTTCTTAGCCAGTAGTAATGCTGAATGCCCTGGCAGACTTCCCTGGAGCACAGTCAGCTTGCAGCTACCTAAGTACAAGTTCAGAAGTTGGAAGATTACTGCTACAAAGGGAAAAGGGGGATTTGGACAGAGGAGCCTGGTGAGAGCTAGTTAACATTATAGCCCTGTGAAATACTTTCTTTTCTGATTGTGTGGTCAGTCCTGGCTTGAATGAAGTCTTAATTTCATACCCCATTATATTCAACTCTTGAATAGTAGAGGTAGATTATCTCTAATCAGATAAACATGCAGTTTAAAGACACTGGTGGGTCTTCACATGACGGTTCCTTGGATGAACAAGTCCCCTACAAGCAAAAATTTGCTGTGTTTTTCTTTTTTTTTTTCCTTTATCCTTCAGTGCAATCTAAGCAGCCTACAGGACTCTAGCAGCTACTCCCATGAGGAGGATGAGGTGATGATAACACTCCTCTGTCACTTCATTTTAGGCAACAGTGCTTCACTAGAAACTCATTCCTAGCTCTGGACCTGGCCAGGTCACAGCACTGAATAATCCAGGGAGGCAGAATTTCCTGAAACAGGTGGGCTGGAGTGAGGTAACACTGTCAGTGAAGAAGAACCATAAAACCTCATGATTCATTCCCTATCACAGACCTTTGGAAGTTGAGACAAGCATCGCTGGAGGTCGAGGTTGCGCCATGTCCTGGAGATGAATGTTTTCTTCATCTGCTTCTGCTCTAGTTGATGAAGGACTCTGAGACCTAAAGAAAAACAATAGATATTAAAAGCTGTTATGCAAGGTTCTGACTCTAACCCACTTTCTACAACAAGCCCAGGGACAAGGAAGCTTTACTGAAACCACCATTTCAACCCCTTGTCCATGACTTGAACTGCATCAAGGTCTCTCTGATTGAAAATCTCTCTCTATATTACTCCCTCTGAGGCTCTCTCTGTTCAGTAAGTACCTCATACAAAGTAGCCAGCTTGGCAAGGAAACACGGGAATCAAGAAATATGTCAGGCTGCATTAGCAGTATTTTTCCCAGCCACAAATATATTACAGCTGTTATTCACTTTTGGTTCTTTAGCCAGAGCTTAAGGAATTTTAAAGCTTTCATGATACTCCTCTGCTGCTTCATGTTGGGCAACAAGAACTATCAAGTCTGGCAGAGATGCTCATGGCAGTGAAACCTCTAAACATTTCTGCATTCCCAAAAGGTCCAAATTATGGCATGGTGAGCATAAGGTGTGGTTTTGAAAGCCAGGGACTGACAACGCAAACGGCACTCTGTAAAACGGCTTGGCTAGGTCTGGGAAGTGCAGGCTGTTCAGGCAAACCTGTCTGCCTCATCCCCTGCTACTGAGTTGGCTGGAATACATCCTGCTTGTCGCTCCCAGGAAGCCACCAACGGAAGCCACCAGTATTTGCAAGTAAAATTTGAAAAAGCTGAATTCTGAGGTGCAGTTTGTATTCTGATCTCCCAATGGTCCGAATTACCAGCATTAAGAGAAAGACAAGCGCATTATTTAGAACATAGCACCACTCCGGACTGGCTAAGTTATACCAGAGGAGCAGAATTCATCATCTTTGTAGGAGGAAAAGCATCCCAGAGGAAAACAAATAAATAAAATGAATGAAACTTTGCCAAATTGAGTTTTTCAAATTCTAAAACTAACAATGATGAGAGTCACTGTTCGTGGCCAAACAAAACTAACAATCCCCTCTGTGTGCATCGGATTGATTCTACACGGGTGCACCTTGCCCCTTGGCAGGAAGCACCAAGAGGACTGCAGAACAACTTACCCCAGGTTTGCTGCCATTGACAACAGTGTTCCACACGGCACTGAGCAACCAGGATCTCCAAAAAACCTGTCCAGAATTTGTAGGTGCAGGGCCCTATATAAGTTCTCTCCAGGGGAGTTTCACCACATCAGTACATATTTGATCCAGTAACATTAAAAGGAGATGCCCAGGGTCTGAAGAATCCAGCCTGTAAATGCTGTCACCCCACATGATTACACAGAGTTGTGAGACAAATGACAGCCAGGAGAGGCGGTCTGAGTTTCATATTATCCTGGCTGGTGGAAATTCCTTGAAGCCCTAAGCCAAATCTTTTAATAAAGCACTGTAAAACAAATGCTTCAAGGCTGAGATCCTGTGCCTGGAACAACCAAAGGAGTGTCTTTCAAAAGCCAAAAGAATACCTGTGTCTCTTCTCTTCCCTCTGCAGGCCAGCCTACTCTGATCTGTCCTTGTAACAGTCTCAGGAAAAGATCTCTGAGCACAGCAGAGCCCTTCATTTACTGAGTGTGGCTCAGTGTGGACTGAGCGTGCTTCCTGGGTTCTTAGTTTTAAGTCTCCATCCATAAAGTAGCAAAATTGTCAGGAACGGAATGATTGTTAAGAAGTGCTTCATCAAAAAAAAAAAAAAAAAAAGCTGCAGAGAGGTTTGGGAACAGAGTGTTAGGAAGGAGTGCTGAAAGAGTGTTCAGACTACTGATCTGACCTTCCCTCTGCCTCTCTGCAGCTGCAGACCGTGTGCTGCTCAGTGCTGACTTCACAGAGCTGAACAGAAGCTTTTCTCCTTTCCTCTCATCCCTTTCCCTGATGTACCTCTGCTCTGCTGAGTAAAGTCAAGAGCAGACTTTCTGGCAGCCTACCATTAATGCTATGTTGTTGTCAACCAAGCAACTTTAAAAATAAAAAACATTAGATGGGTTTTGCCTATTTTGGACAGAAACGTGAGCCTTTGGAAGCTGTAGTCCCCCCTCCTTGTAGTACTACGTAGCAGAGCACAGGCGCTGTAGGTTGTATGATGGATTAATAGCTACTTAATAGCCCATTTCCCTCTGCAGCTATGTCCAGCCCAAACTCCTGAATCTGACTTGTTCCCAGCACTTTTTGGCACCCTATTGCTATACCACCAGTTCCTAAATTGCATTTCTCACACTGATTGCCTGAGTTGAGTTTCTAAGCCACCCTTTGTTTTCAGACCTCTGTCATAACTCTCTGAAGAGCCTTTTTCATCTGAAGCTCCTTATCTCCAATCAGTTGATAAGGATGGGCAAAGCTATTCCTGGAGAACAAGCCCCTCAGAGGCACACAGCCTTGCAGCCTTCCCCCCAGCACCAGATACAGCTGAAACAGATTTCAGACCAGGCTAATCAGCTGTGCCTGGCACAGCAGGGACCCAGGAGCAGGTGCTGCAAGCGTATGAATTACAGGTCTAGCTACCTGGGAACTCATGATGGGAGGCAATGCAAGAGTCCCACATGTATCACAACCATTACTCTGGTTCATTCAGACCTTTAGCAGACTAATTGATAAGACAAAGCACACTAACTGTGTGCTTGTCTGCCACCCATGTCATACTTTGCCTGCGAGCACTACCACAGCTCAGAAACATGCAGCCCAGTGCCATCACCTCACTCTGTTGCATCTGGAAGCTGGATCTAGGACACCACCATGCAGTGCTGCATGAGCAGCCCTCCCTCCGAACCAGAGGCACAGCTCCCTGTGCACGCGGCTGTCCAGCTGGGGCAGGTAGACGAGAGGCTCTGCTTGGCTCCTGCAGTAGATGGCATTGATGGAAGTGCAGTCTGTCACGCCAGCCAGCTGCGGGTCGGACGGCCCCATGATATTCTGCAAGGCGCTACGTGCTTTAGGCCCTCTCACGCCCAAAGCCAGCACTGGTGGCACCATGCCCGTCTCTGAAGCATAGGAAGAAGGCAGTTTTTCTGTGAAAGACAAAGAGATTGTAACTAAAGCATGCAACAACCCTCACCAAGGTCATTCATTCTGCTCAAGTGCTCTTTTTAGCTCTGTCATAGTGGACTTAGGCAAAGTAACCTACTGGTTACCTGTCCTGTGAGTGTTATGCTGTTACCAGCTGTACTTTTTTAGCCAGCAGTAATTCTGAGATTACTCAAGGTAGCTTACCTGTTAAAGAAAAAAGGAGTGTGTTGGCTTCTTATTTGCTATGGAAAAGGGTGTGCACAGGGTTAAATACTACACAGCTGATACACTAGAAGCCAGCACTTTAACTTCTGCTGCTGTACGTTGTTTGTATTCATAAGGAAGGCTGGTGGGATTGAAGGGGAGATGGCAAGAATATGGGCCTGAAGAGAAGAATGTTTTCTGTAATTTTAATCAGAAATGGGAAAACTGGGAAGGGAATCACAGGCTGGATATCCATCCACATCTTTTCTAGATCATTTCTTCTGTATCAAATACCAATTTTGCATTATGTTGCCTAATGTGTCCAAATATTTGATTAGCCACCTTTATTTCCCCTCCAGGACTTGAATTGTGGCTTTCCTTATTTCCTGCAACAATTCTTCCCTACATCTCTGGCAAACCCTTCTCCACTTTCACTTCAGCTCTATTGGGGTCCAATAAGTAACCCCAGTAAAGAGCAAGTTTGCCTCCTCCACATTTCTAACTGTATAAGAGCAGAAAGACGTGTCATTCTCTTCCCTGGAGTTTAAATGTATTCATTTACATCATTAGTTGCCTAAGAATCAGAAACCAGAACATAAGTCTCCAGAACAAGTAGACAATGGAGAAATTGACTGAAAATAGTTAAAATAGTCATTTTAAAGTTTTCAAGCTAAAGGTAAAAATCCAGTCTACAAACTCACGTAGTAGCCCTCAGCTCAAGTGATTTGTCCCTTCATACAAAATGTTCCTATTTAGATACAGGGTACAGAGCACTGAAGCAGATCTGCTGCCTGTCATCTCTTAATGACTGGTGATTTTATGGTTTTCTTACTCATTTCTGAAGTCCTTCTTCATTTCTGCAGCTATCAATATGAATACATTACATGCACAATGCTGAGACAACTGCAATCCCATTTCTAAGGCAGTCTGCTCGTATGGTTTTCAAATGTAAAAAGGTGCAGGGAAACTGCAGGATATTTCTCTATTTAAGCAGGTCTGCGCTCATCTTCTGTCAAAGCAAACGGAAGCCTGCTTCTCTCACTCTGTCTGCCCACAACTTTCCCCAAGAGAAATGGATTGCTTGTATTCACTACAGTGCCACATGCAAACCTTCCAGGAGAACTTTTGGATTAAAAGAATGTACAAGCCACAAAACATTTCAGAGGCCATCTCTACACCTTGCAGCTCGTATAATTGCCTGTTGTTGTAGGGTTATACTGCATTACCTACTAATAACATTCCATAAATGCTTTGAGACAGGCTTCATTATGTCTACTTCACAAATGGAAGACTTGAGTGGCATGGGCCAACACGTGGCCATTGGTGTTTAATGTTAAGGGCTTTGAGATGTGACATCAGGGACTCATACAATTGTTGTTTGCCTTATCTTTTTAGTCTCTCACCTCAGACCACCTTCTATTGGCAAATTGTGATGTTTTGGTGATGGCTTATCAGACAACATAACTACAGGATGGATAGATCTGTAGTTTCCTTTCAACCATTCTCCTAAAGGTCAAGTAAAGACTGAAGTACCAGAGGTGATGGGATGGTGGAATTGAGGAAGAGAGGCTGGATTCTCTGCAGTACCTCCAGAAAAATCAGTAGTAACCAATTTGGTATGCCTAACTTACATGGGTCTAATCCTGCAGCTTACAGCACTGCAGTCTGCGAATGGTCTCTACAAAGGAACAATAAAAGTGGTTTGAGACACACACAAATAAAGGACTAAAAATTCAGCTTGGAGTAGCTGAATTCTAGCAACACTGGGAGTAGATAGAAACAGCCTAAGGTCTTTTATAATTGCCTTTGGAAAAGATATAGACAACTGATGTGATGCTCTTGTAAATCCTATACCCCTTTCTCCATGTCCACAGCACCACGTCATTCTTCAACTTAGTAGAGTTAAAGACCTTCACCTCGGTATCATTACACAGTGGAATCACTGGAAGAAAACTAGACCTCACCTGAGCTAGAGAGCAGCACATCATGCTGAGGATAGAGCAGGCGGAGTCCACAGACATCCAGACCAGAGCTGAGTACCAGCTGCAACATGTGATGGGTAGCTAGGGAACTTCGGAGGAGAGTTTCAAACAGCAATGCCATGGCAACCTGAACAGCGAGAGCACATTGGAGGAGTGAGCCAAAATGCTTCCAAGCCCACAGTGACCATACAGCTGTGTCTCTTCTACTCACCTTAAATTCCCATGCCCTACCTACGCTACAAGAGCTATAAAGAGGCTTTCTTTTCTTCTGTTTACATGCAGTTCGGCACAGCAGGCTTTTAGCTTCAAATTGAATCATAACGATGATAATTATGATTGAATAATAATTATGTACTACTACTGAAATAATTGTGCCTTTTGTCACAAAAACCTACTAGTAAAAGACTGCAAGTTCTCTGGGGCAGAGAATAAAGTGAATCACTCTTGTTTAACTCCGCGTACTACAGAAAGATGATCCAATAATAATAGGCCAACTGGTTATTTCCTAATACCTACAAAAAGGCCAAGATCAACACAAAAAATGATTCAAAAGGACAGGTACATCCCTGGTACTGTCCCAGATTTACCTTTTGAACTTTTCTTTACCAGATGACTGCAATTCAGCTCATCCTGACACGCAGGAAGACACACGCTGTTACATACTGAATGTCTGTACCCAACAGGAAAGCAAACTACTTTGAGCTCTGCACTCTCCTATCAGAAGAAACTTATTGTTTCGAAACACAGATGCTTTACAAGAGAAAGTTGTGTGGTGCCTGACATGCTGAGGGCAATAAATTGTCTAGCTGAGGATCAGACAAGCATGGTTGTATTGGCCTCAAATTTGTGCATGGTTCTCCTGGGTGCAAAGACACAATGCTATCCCCAGCAGCAAGCTTTATGTCTGCAGTGAACGCCAAATGAATTCATCACTACTGGACACTTTAAATGAAATGCTACTCCCCCATAAACACACAACAAGGCTTATAACATCATAATAAATGAAGATATAAATTTACGCAAATCGTAAAAAAGTAGTCTAATTAGGAATAAAAGCTTTATTTCTTTATGTTCGTCTAGCTCAAGCTCTCCTGATGCTAACCCAGTGATCACAGCAGCCAGTAAGGAAGCATTTTTCTGTAGCAGCTATAAGAGTCCCTGGGGTCTGGCTGCCTGGGCTCCAGGCCAACTTTGATAATGCAGCTGTCCAGCACTGACAAACCTCAGGAACTGCTGCCTCCCCTTTTGCCTGGGAGCCAGCCACTTGGCTTTGGTCTCTGAGCTTTGTTGCAGGTATGCCTGCAGCCAGTCTCATATGGCAGTGATTCTGGCCGTTATCCTAATCTGCTGGCTTGACCTTCTGGCTTGGCCCTGTCCCTATGGACTCTTGGCTGACCCTGGTTGCTGTTGCTGGACCTGTTCTGCTCTTCTCACTTGGTAACGTGTGAGTGCACCCTGCCAAGCGAGGTGGCTGGCCCTGCCTGCCTTGCTGTTAGCTTCACCTCCCGGCTTGCCATTTCCTTGCAGAGCATCCTGCCCTTGCTGTGAGAGATTCTGTATGGGCCCGCTAGTAGGACTCCTGAGGCGAGTCAAGGAATTGTCACGAAGACATACGAGGCATTTCCTGACTGTGCCAGGTGCCCAATATCTTCAATAAATAACTGATTTTCTAGTATTTTCCAGGAGCAAGCCTGGTACAGCTAACCACTCTCAGCCACTGGCCACACTTGCTGGTTGTTAGGACAACATAAAGATATCTGCATCTCCCTGATTCACTCCTAACAGGAAACTGAACTCGTTAGATCAAATGTGCCAGGTTGTGTTGTGCAAGAGCTAAGAAAGGTGAGTTACCCCAGGTAAAACATATCATATCTGTATAGGGGTCCAGTATGCTTTGGTATACACTCCTACACTGAGGTAAAGATGAGCTAATTCAAGTTACGGTGACCTTCTCTTCTTCTGGGTTAAACAACATGGAAATACTTTCAACTTGTTCCTACAACACACTGTTACTGTAGGTCAGGTAAATAGTACCAGAGGCTTCAGAAAAACTTGGATTTCTGAGCACAAGTTTTATAAAAGTTGTGTTGCACACCGGCTTGCAGTCACGGGGCTTTGGGTTAGCAGAATTTGTCTGTTGTTACTGATCTGCACCTGGTTGGTAGCAATTTCTCCAACCCATATATTTCATAGTTTAATCTTCTGTGGCTCAGAGCAATCGGTATATCAAGACCACTGACACAAAAGACTCAGCTTACTTATGTTTGAGTGAGAAATACTTTGAGTATTTGTACCAAACCTAAGGATTGAAATATTTCAGGTCACTTAATTGTGATTATTATTATTATTTTTACCTCAGTGTCTGTGTTGCTGCAAGCCTCAATGTTGCTGCTATTAGGGAAGTATTTTTCATCAGTTTCAACTGTCTGCCAGTAAAATCCATTTGGCACTGCAAATGCTTTCTCCACTGCCTGAAACACACAAATGATATTTCTTACCTGTATGTTATTTTGATCCCTCAAAATCAAGAGCTAGGAAAAAACATTATGTTAATTTTATGGCTAAAGAACATATAAGGATGCATATTCACGGATTAGAGTTATTAGCCCAGTGTTGTTCCCCTATCATTTGCCTTCCTGCATCTGTACCACCAACTCCAGTGAAATTATATCCCATGAATATGACTTTGCAGCTGCTTCCTGAGGGACTGAACCCTCCTAGGGTCCAACACAGTGGCCCTCCACATGGGGAGCAAACACTAACATGAACAGGAGTCGCATACAAAAGGCACTGCAGAATCAGGCTCAGCAGCTTGAGACCCTGTTTCTCCATGATCATACTGGGCATCCAGCAGAAAAGAGCTTTGTCAAGCGAATGCTCTAATTAACCAACCAAACAGAGGGCAGGGAAAGAATTGCATGAATTTTTTATGTGCCTGTAACTAAAATAGGACATTTCTCCTGTGTTCATGTCACCACAAGTGGCACGTATCTGTAAGTCTTACTGTGCCACATACTCCTGAATAGGCAAAAGACTCTGGCATTTAGGTCACAGCGTTACAGAAATGTAGCATTTCCCAATCTCAGCACGTTATTCTGTTTCTCATACATTTTCTGGGCAGTCAAGCAAGCAACCTGTACAAGGGCAAGTTTAAGGATGTTGAAGGATGTGTCACTCATGAAAATCTGCTGTGACTTCATGCTTCGTAAGCAAGGCCATAGTCCAGGAAGGAATGCAGCTTTTGAAAGACCCATTTGCCAAGTTCTTTTTTGGGAAAAAGCGTTACTTGTAGCTACACTGATCTTGAGCATCCCAGAAATATGGGTGCATTTAGGCAGAGTGCACATTGGGCAGAATTCCCAATACAAAAAAAATTGTCCCGTTTGAGACATAGGCTCAGAAGGTGAAACCTGAGTATTTTCACTATTTGTAAGGTCTCTACTTTGACTTTCAGCAGTCATGAGTCTGTTCCCATCTCATGTGGTTTTATTCATATCCCAGAATAAAAAAAAAAAAAAAAAAAAAGAGGAGTTGTATTTCAACATGGTCCCATCAAGACTTATTATGAATGGAAAATGTATTAATTGCATGAAGAAGTGTCCATTTTAGAGTATGAGGTACATATAATGCTCTTTAAATGTGTAATCACAAAAGAGATTAGAGATTATTTTTTCACTGCTTGGCAAAAGGTATGAACTTCATATCATTCTATAAATGAAAAACAACATCTACAAAGTGAATTCATTTCAATGATATTAAAATCCCTCTGACATCTGCCCTTTGTGTTTTCTCCTTCCTCTATTTTCTGTGCTTCATAAGGTATTTGCCTAAAAGCAGAACCAGGGATTTCACTTTTCACCTGGTTTCAGTCAGCACAACTACCCCAAACTGAGTGCTCTGACATCTCTCAAGGATTCACTCATTAAGTTTTGCAATTCACCGTCCACTAGCCTCCACATGTGATATTAAACATGGTTGCTGTGGAAAACATTAGAGGAAAAAAAAACACACATTGATTTAAGGAAGCAGAAGCTCCTCTTTTTTCCAATGTTTGCTGCCAGCTCCTGTGAACAACACTGGTGTGGTGCAGCGAGCACGGAGGGATCAGACAAGCCTTACAAACCAGGAATGCAGCAAGGCCCCAGGCTTCCATTCATTCAAGCTGTTCCTTGAGCAAACCTCAAGTCTGTGAGCTTCCAAGAAGGAAAAGAGGAGGGCCGAGGGTGGACAAACCAACTCCAGCCTGCATCACCATGGGAACCTTCACTACAACCATCCAGACGCAGAGGACACAAGCTGGGAAGTCCAAGGTAAAAAGCTGACCTTTACAAAGTGCCGTGGTGTAAGCTGCGGATCAGCTGCCATCCGAGGCAGCTTGGCCGGGCTCCCTCCCCACCAGAGCAGGGATCTGGCCACACCTATTAGGGAATCAAAGCCCATGGGAAATTGTTTCTATGATCTGTCAGATTCTGTTTTCTAGCAGCCACCCTGCATGTGATTTCACAAAGTAGCAGAAAATTAAGCTTGAAAAGCCTTAGATCTCCCAGAAAATCCTTTTTCTCATGGGTAAGGAAATACACATAGCTGGCTGCAATACGACGGCCTGTTTTGTTCAGTCCAGCCAAAATGTTCAAGTGGAAACTCCTGACACCACCCTCCCATGCAATGCACAGGAAGAAAGCAACGTTCCCATGCGTTTAAGAGAACTGCATCAATTCAGTTGTTGTAATATTGAGATGAGCCCTGTTTGACAGGCACTGTACAGTGATCCTCCCCAGGTAGCTGAGTGACCTCACTCTTACTGAAATGATTTTGGTGATTCTGACACTCTTTAGCTTGAAGCTACTCTCTTATATTTGGTGGATAACACTACTTGCAGTGTTCCACAGCGAGAGACAGGGTAGGCATAACTGTATTGGTTTCACCTCAGGGCTGGTTCTTCTCTTATGCCTCCAGCAATATTACAGTAGCTGTAAAGCTTCTGTGCAAACACAGCAGTTCAGAAAGTCTCTCCCAGGCTAGCTGATACATCATCTCTGAACGCTGACCTGTCCCTCCCTCCCCGAGCACTGTGCAGAATGGTAAAGAGGCAGGCCAGCCTTCAGTACCTACCGAAAATGCCTCCTCTGAAAGGCTCTGCAGAGCATTCCAATAATCTTCTATCTCATGGTGAAGGTGTTACAGTGGTGAGGAGAGGTACCCTGTGCTCATTGGCAGCTATAGCAGCCCCAGGATACTTTGACTTATGCTGTGACAGGCTCCAAAACCCCAGATCATTTAACCATGACCATTTCCACAAGCATCTCCCCCACCTCCTAATGTAATAAAATCGGGTTTCTCACAGCCCTTACATCTTCTTCATACACACTGCTGCTATCAGAGCAGGAAGGGAGGGGCACGTCTGTAACTTCCCATTTGTAGGTACTCTAAATTTTTATCAAAAAATATCTTTTTTTTTTTTTTTTAAATGGGGAGACAAATTCTGATTTCTGTTATCTTAAAACAGTGGAAAAGAACGATTTACACCACAGCTAGGATTGAACACACATCATTTTTCAAACAGCATTAAAAAGAAACCCAGAGCCACTGCTTTGTTTCAGACAGCATTACTGAGATGAAGCCAGACAGTTATGGGAAGGAAATTCACAGCAGAACAAAAACATGTTGTAAAATACTGAGCAGAAACACGAATAAGCACATTTTAGAGAAGACTGGAGCTGTGTGCAGCAAAAACATGAGTCTAACTGTCATACAGAAATATGACCAAATCCAGTACCTCTTCTCGCTTACAGCATATTCTGTTCTCATTCCGACAACAAAGGAATAGCTTTTGCTGTCAGATGATCTAAGAGAGTCTTTTAAGTTGCAACAAGTCTTCTAGACTGCTTCCCAGCCACAGCAGGAAAACAGGAAGAATTTTTTACGTACTCCACAATCTCATCCCCTTGCACTCAAAGTGCTTTCTAACGCACAGACTTGCTCAGCCATTATCACTAAGACAGCACCTAAATCCCTAGGAGATAGATGGTGCATCCCCTCCTACCTCCAAAGACAGCCCGTGAATCCGATACGTATATAACATTTCAACTCTACTGACCACGTCAGCAGCAGCAGAGGAAGCACTATTCTCATTCCAGCAAAGGCTTTGACATTAACATACAGGCAAGGCTCATGGCTAATGGGATATGCTCAATCATGCCACTGAGTTAGAGTGCATTATCCTCAAACTTTCTCCTCTCTTCACTGTCATAAACCCCAATGCATTAGCGTGGTATTCCTCATGGAATACAGATGAACACAAACTTGAGTTTGCTTTCTTCACACCTTTTCTTCTCCATTCTGCATACTCCCTTCAGGTGACTGCAGATTTAGTGCAGGAAACATGCAAGCACAGTAGGAAGATCCCAGGTAGGGGAAAGTCTGGGGAGAGAGTGGGCTAATTCAGGACTTTGTCACTAAAAACGTGCAGTTCTGATGACTGTATTTCAGGCAGTTTGAAGATGCCTCTCCTTCCACTTGCACCCCTTTTGTATAAGCAAAGAGATGTCCTAAAACACAGGAGAATGGAGGAGAGTAATTTCCACCCATTCTGCCAATCATGCACAGCACTAATGGCAAAGCACATTAGCTTGATAGGTCTTTCAAACTGCTTTCTTCTGCAATAGTTAGCAATGGTCCCAATTTAAATATGTGCTACCAAACTTTGGGAAAAATGAACTATAATGGCCTACTCTTCCCTAAGCGAAGTCTTCATCTCCATACAAACTTAGGCAGACACCACTGTAGTCCCTTCTCCTTTAAGAAGGCTTGGGTTTTCTACTTACAACTCCCCGTGACAACCCAAACTCCTGGCCTCACTAAAATCAACAGCACAACAAAAAATCAACAGGACTCAGCTACAGCCAGGCTGTCACCACCTCCCCTCTGTCGCATGAAGATGGCTGAGATACAGCCATGCAGCTCCTCTGCTACGGAGTCATTGCTATAAACGCAGAGAGGAGGCCCCAGGACAAATGTCTCACCCACAGGTGACTCATCTCCACGCAGACTCATCAGTCCAATGACGTGTGATATGTACGTAAGTGCTCTCCCCAAAGCTGGAGGTACGGCTATCAGGCTGCCTAGCAGATGCAGGGTGCCAGACACATGGGCCCTTAGCATCAACTCAGGGAAAGATGAGACACAAGCAAGATTTGGAAAGCAAAGGACAGGATGAAGAGATCTTCTGGATTAGAACTTCAGCCGGGACTTAAACATGTGAGCTGTTGGGCTTAGGGGCCAGCGTGTGCCATGCTGCAAGTCTCAGCATCCTGCTGGCTCTCCCATTTGGGCACGCAGATGTGGAGGTGCTGTTCTGGGGGCTGGACCTCCCCACACGTGTCGGTCCAGCACTCCAATGCCCAGTTTAGCAGCTCAATGACCAAGTCCTTCAAGCTTGATCATTGGGCCTGAAGAGTGTCAGGTGAAAAGCTGATATGGAAGTAAGTTGCAGTTCTCTGAGCAAACCTCTTTAGCAGTGGAATTAAAAAGTTGTAGTAAAAGACAGTGGAAGATGCTGAAGCCACTCAGCATGGGTAAAGCCACGATACTCATCAGTGAGACATCAGAGCATTCAAACTCTACAGCTCAGCACGAGCTTGACAAGAAGACACTAAATTACAGATTCACAACTGTACATGCCCTGTGGGCTGTTTGTAGGGAGGGAAGCATTATGAAATAGAAATATTAAGGATTACTTCCACCTGTATCATGCCTTTTTTTTTTTCCCTTCCACTTCTCTAGAAAGTTCTGGTTCTGTTAGGAAATTTTAGTTTGGAAAGAGCTTCCTCACTTCTAGTCAGAAGTGAAGAATCCAAAAAGCTTCACTGCACGATCTGGCTCATTCCACTGGGACACCTCAGTTTGTCAGATGGCTTTTTCTACTCTTGTTTTGAATGTTGCAAAAACATTGCTTCTGCTGCTTTTCCTGGGAGATTTTTCAATGTCTCTGAAGTTTCACATCAAGCAGCTTCCCTCTCGCCATGCTATTTGGAGAACAGGTGCATCCCAGGCAGGGTTTTAACCTACGTGCCTAAATTAGAAGGGTCACCCTGTGCACGCTGTCACTGGAAATGCTTCTCACTCCCGCTTGAAAGACTACGTACAGAGTTCAGGCACTCACATGTCCCCATTAGGTGCCTTAAAGTGCACAAAGTAACAAGCAAAGAATCCATGCCCACTTTTCCATAGCATGAAACAGTGATTTCTAATTTTCCTCAGCCATGCATTGCTCTTGTTCTACCTGGTTATTTCAGTCTTTGTTAAAAAAAAAAAGTTTGCAACTTTCAAGCTTGAATGCCTGTACACATAAAGCTCTTCTGGTAACATAGTCACCACCAACTTGCCAGCAGGAAAATCCCAAAAGTTTGCATTTGTGCTACAAAAACACCACATTAAAGAACTGCTGTACTTTCTGCAAGTCCCCTCCCACACATCAAACTTCCTGTTGGTTCAGCCTCCACTGTAAAGTCTTTTTGCAGCATTGAGTTGCAACATCAAGGCAAATTTGGTGCCCTGAATCCAGTTCTGGAATTCTCGTCCTTGCTTAGCCAAAACTGAATAAAAAAAATGGAGCTTTGCTTAAGTGAAAAGCAAAGAGGGAGCTTTGTGTAGACCTGCCTTCAATTAGTACTGTTGTCTCAAAAATAAATAAATAAACCCTAACACCTGTGCTGGAAGCCAGGAGGGAAACTAAAGAATAAAGAAGGAGCAAGTAGGGAACTGATCACCAGGAGGTGCAACAAAAACAATTCTTTGGAGTTAAAAAAAATAAAATCATCTTCACTTCCATTTAGGGATGGAGTTTCCTTTCCCTGAAACCTTGCTGACATGATCACTCACCCAGTCCTGCTGTGCCCTGACTCCTCTTATCACGGAAGGTATCCGTACAGGCTGGGAATTCAACAAGATGCTCCGGGAAGCATGCAAAAAGATGTCAAGTGATAGATGGTGGGGCTGTACCGTTTGGGCAAGGGCCCCAGGGTACAGAGCACTGGAGAAAGTGCAGTACAAAAGCAGTGTGCCTTAATGAAACAAATTAGCAGAGGCAAAAAGCAACAGTGCTGGCTACAGGTTTCCCGTGTCCCTAGGGTTAATGCTTGCATCCTAAAGCTTAACAGCAGAGAGTACTTCCATGTTAAAATGAAGTTCTCTTTTTGCTGACAAGGAACACTGTAGTTAATGACTTCTACGGGGACCATGCCACTCCTAACCTAACCTGCGGTTTTAATGGCTGCTCTGTGAGTTTACTCTTCATGTCTAAAGTGAGTTACTGGAGGTTAATAGGCAGCATGCATAGTATTAATAAGAAAGCCTCAAAGAAAGATTGCAAGAGAAAAGCAATCTGTTTGGGGTTCAGAACAGACTGAAAAACGCTAGAACAATTGACTGAAAACAAGACCTTGGCTTAACCTTTAAGCACTTTGTTGAGTGTATTACAGCAACTGCTATCAATTGCTTGTAAAGCCGTACACAGAGCTTGGCAGCACACAAGCAGATGGCAGTTTTACCTGATGTTCCTCCTCCCTCCACTCCTACCCATTTGTTTCATCCACCCATCAGGACTTGGGTTTCAGACTAAGCTACCTGGAGCAAGAACTGTATGCCTTATGTATTCACTGTATGCCTTTCCAAGGGATAGCAGCAGGTCCTTTGGTCAGCTCAGGTTTGCGTACACCACTCCAAAATCAAGTAAATAAAAAGCAAGTACGGATCACAGGCCCTGTGCAAAGTTTTCACACCGATGAAGTTAAAAAATGTGACACTGAATTTTCTGTGTAGAATTTATACTGGTTGTATTTTAATGACACTTGGGAACATTCTCAGTTGGTATCACTTTGTAAAGCTTCAGGCAGACAACAGGGTTAGCTGCTGCCTGCTGAGAGGCTGGCTCATTGCGCCTTGCTTAGGGAAGTCAGCCTTTCTGTTTAACTGCAAGACACATCTATTAAAAAGCCACGATACATCGTGGTCTCAGTGTAATTCAGGCCTGGGAACCTGGGTGGCACAGAGCATTTGAACTTAGGAAGAGAATGTGGCCTTTAAATTGACTTTCATTTTTCTATGGCATCAAGGCAAAGACCTACCCCCAGAAAGTGCCTGCTATCTTGCTGTTCAACTTCTAATGATTTATAATCCCCCTAATAGGGGATTTGCATAAAAGCCCTGACTGTTTCAAATGATGCCTTACTTTATGCCTTACAAGTATACAGCAGATTTATCTTTTACAAGTATGTCAGCCTGCTTTATTGCACTTGCCTGTACTTGAAAGCTACAGTGACTGCAAATCAACAATATTAAGCCTCCTTTTCCTTCAGAGAAGCGGGATAAACCTTGAGGCAAATTGCTGAGTGCACTGCTAAGCCCCTAAGCTTTCATGGCATTGATTCTCACATTGTAATAGTAATCCCCAAATCTGGTTGGGATTGCAGCAAAGTTCTCAAGCTACACTATTTTCAGAACTAAACTTTGTTGTGAACCAGAATTGCAGCCTTCACAATTCCCTGGAATTGTATCTCAAGTTTTTTTTTTTTGATGATTTAGAAATACTGGGAAAAAAACATGATCAATTAAAGGCTGGTGATGTCATGGGAAAGGAATAAGTGGAACATTCCCTCAAAAGGTATGGAAATCAGGTAGCATTCAGTGCTTCTTTGAAAAGCTGGGATAAATATTTACAGTAAAGTGGGAGAGGCAGTTATGTGCTTAGAGGCCTAAAAGCAATGTTTGATGCCCACAGGGAATAAACTCCCTGAGTAAGCCCAAGGTGTATGAATTCTTGTAGCATTACATTCACTTGAATATCTGTTATGGAACACTTGCTAAACTGACAGAAGTGAAGAAGTTAATTATCATTCTATTTCCAGACAGCATGAGGTGAATGTTCCTACAGACTTCTCTAAGAAAGCAAGTTTAATCACTTGATTTTAAGTGGTGCTATGCCCTTGTAATCTCATGCACTTCAGTGGAAAATCAACACTGCTTTGAAGAATTTATTTTCAAACAGAGTTTAAATGCTTAGCTAAACCAAATGAAAATACCTGTAACACAGGAAGAACAACAACTTCTACTGGACACGAGAAAAAAAATCAGAAGCTCAAGCATTTTTGTACAGTACCTGAGGATCAGGACTAACAGTAGTGATGCAACTCAGCAGGACAGAGGGAATTTCAGGAGCAAGTGGATATAGTTGGTTTTGGAAGCAATTGACCAGTTCAGGTCTCCACCAAATAACATCTGGAAGCCACGTACAGGATAGAAATTCAGTAATCCTCTGGTAAAAAATGGATATTCCTTGGAGATCTTCTTCAGTCTGCAAGAAGTCAACAATTAAAATGCATTGGTGATAGGCACTGCAGCTCGCTGTTCTGTGCTGCACTGTGTACCTGTAACAACTCTTTCTGCCTGCAACAATCCCAACCTCGTGCTTCACGCATCTGCCATACAACTGCACTTCAGTGTTCAAACCAAAATCTTAATTTAACACCTCTCAGCTTCCCAAACCATCACAACCTGCAGCCCTGCAACCAGAGCTTCTAAACTTGTCCTCTTACCCACAGAAAGCACACTCCTCCCACGATCCTGCTGTCACCCTGCAAAATCTCCACTTCCAGGACCAAAGACAGAACTGAAGGTCCCGATACTGGGTTTGTGACACCAGAGAGGGGACTTGAGAGCAGATGTTGTCTGCAACAGCCAGTTATGCCCACCAGCTGACTGTGTGATGTGCTCACACCATGGCCTGGGGACACGCTTCCATGTGGACTTGCCTCAAAAACCGCTTTGGTAAAGGGGCTGAGAAGATTAGCAGCATTGCCCTTCCACCACAGTCCTCGATACGCTTGGACAGCTGAGCTATAAAACCCCATCGCGGATGATAACTGGAGAGTTAACAGCAATCTTCGACTGGTAGCCAGACACTGGTATAAAATAACTGGCTCATGACACCTGACAGCCCACAGATACTGCTCCAAAGCACATTACATACATACATCCCTCTTGAAGAGGGAGACAAAACAGGCTGATACAATGAAACATACATTTGCAAAGGGTTTCATAGCGATAAAAATGAAAATATTTATTAATTTCAGGATTTTTAAAAGATTGATACTAACCTTAATATCGATATATTAATTTTGAACACTGCACTGCTAAATTACATTTTCCATCATTTAACCTCCCCTCTAAGCCCTTTGTTCTTTCAAGTTTGTTCTTAATTAGTCAGATTTTCCGAGAACAAATTGGTGACCTCAATGAAACCCAATCAGAAATGAACAGAATTAGCAATTATGCGAAGCATCTTCTCCATATCCTCTATTACGGCACCTAGAAATTAGAACTCGAGCAGTAAAGGACTGAAAAAAAAAAAGCCCCAAATCTAATGACAGAGATCGTGAGCTCTTTTGAACCACCACGGAATTGTTAAGTGATCGAAGCATACAGGGAAGAACCATGCTGCTCTGCGTGGTGCTAGTGTGCCTAATTGGGAATGCTGAGTAGATTCTTAGAAAGCATGCTCTGTACAAATCTAATTCCCATCAGATATGCCTGTAAATGCAGCTTGTCGATCTGCATGCAGAAATTACAAGAGGTGTAAAAGCATTTGTTCTAACAACTCAAGAAACCAAAACCATGAAGGAATATTCAAATCTTTCCCACTTTTCTCAATTGTTTGGAAGGAGCACTGAAATAAAACGAGCAAAACCAAACCCCAAAAAAGGGATTAAAACACTGCAGAAGCACTTGATAGAGAAACAGATGTCATCATAATTGAATACACCACAAGTTAATCTGCTTAGGACAGGAGCTTTTCCTTGAGAAACCGTTATTATATTTGTAACCATATGAAAGACATAGATGGCAGTGAAGAAGCTAGTAAATAAAAAGTTGGTGGCTTACAGCTCTGTAATGTAGCTCATCTCCATTTACTAGTAACTGGAGAAAAACACCACAACAAGCAAAGAAACACCCCCAACCAACCAGCAGCACACTACAGCTACGTGAAAGCAGCAGGCTGTCTTGTTCCAGTTGCTGGTGATGAACTGTGCCCCAGCATTATTGGAGCTGTGATGCTAGGGCAGGCACCGAGCCACACAATCAAATACATCAAAGCCAATGAGACTGATGAACATGCTCAGGGTGTTCAGTCACACCAGGGGTGGGAATTATCAGTGAGGCAAGCTGGAGAAGGTGAAATCTTGCTCTCTTGATACAGATAGGTCCTCAGATTCTAGCAATCCAGTATCTGCTGTACAAATCATATTCATGTTACTATCAGAAGAAAATCCACGGACAACTGTCATTTTGCTGCTATCACAAGATACAAGTACAGACACACAGATGGGCATTTCCTTCCTAGCATCAAATAAGCAAAAATCTACCTAGTAAGCTGCGTGGTCTGTACATCTCCATCTTTGGCACTGAAAATGGACCCTGGACTCTCCACTTTAAAAACATTAAATATCAGTTGTCAGAATGCTGTTGGTTAAAGTTTATACTGCATGGTATGCCTCTCTACACAATACAAAACAAGGTAAGGAAAATTTTCCTACATTTTTATAGTCATTCTTGGAGTCAGTAGCTGCAGTAATAATGCCTGGGAACACCGATTTTTCCTGGATTTTCATATTTTGAAGGAAGCCCAGGTAACTGGTTCTTATTGTGCCAACAGGAGACAAACAGAACAAGAAGCAGTAAATGCCACAACGGAATAATTTTATTATCCGATTCAACCACTGAAGTATTGTACATTAACTCTACAGTATGAGACTGAAGACTTAAGTGTGAAAAGTAAAGTCTACCACATCCCTCTCCAACAATAGCTGAAGCTGTTCATGGGGAGGAGTGGGGAGACAGGGCTAGTCTCCCCATTAGGACTAGTTGTTTTCCTCATCTCTGCTGTGGGCTGACGTTTCTGAAAGACTTTTGTTGTTCCTATCAGCTTAAATCTCCGTTGGGGAAAGAGCAGCAGCTTTACAAATGCCTCAAGAAAGCAAAACTGACAAAAGTCATTGTTATCAAACTGACACACGGTAGAGCCTCCAATAAGAGGAAACTTCAGTTATACAGAGTCTTGCTTTGAGCAATACCATCCAAATGCCTTGCCTGTTCACTTCCATGCACGCTAGCTGGACTCAACAGCAACATTAGTGGCTGGAAATGGGGCAGTAAGAAAGCATTTACAATTTATATGCGGACTGGAAACTCCACAAGGTTCATTCTGACAACCTGTGATAGAATCCTTCCCGGCTCCAAGCAAACCTTCAGAGCAACCTGGGCTTGCAGCTTCGCGAGTTGATTCAATTATTTGACACCAGATACATGTTTTGAGCATAGTCAGTGCTCATCAGTTCTGATGCTCTGGTCAACTCCTCATCAGAGATCAGCAGAGAGTGATAAGGCAACTGGACAGGAGACAGGTTAGTCCCTGTTCCTGTTTTCTTTGTTTCACAGAAAACATCTGGAATTGAGTCACCTGAGACAGAAATCAACACTAAGCCCTTGTCCAGCCTAGCAGGCTGCTTAGCCTCATTAGCCCTGCTGCTTCTGCCAACAGATGCCCAAACACTAGCTGAAAGGTGTTTCTTTTTTCTTTTTTTTGAGTAGTGTTTTAATCATAACATTTTTGCCAGCATCAATCATTTACGTGTGCAAGCACTGGAGCCGCAGCTGTCATACTCCAGGCTTTATGACACATCATGGGAAATTCAATCTTTACTGCTGATAGACAGGCAGCTGCGAGCAAGGAATGCTCACTGCAGCTGAACAAGGGAAGCTGAAGCAAGTTGTCCCCCCACAAGAAGGACATGGACCTATTAGAACGAGTCCAGATGAAGGTTATATGGATTATCAAGGGGCTGGAGCACCTCTGCTACGGAGCCATGCTGAGGGAGCTGGGGTTGTTCAGCCTGAAGATGAGTAGGCTCCAGGGAGACCTCACAGCAGCCTTCCAGTGCCTATAGGGGGCTTCAAGAAACCTGGCGAGGAAGTCTTTGTCAGGGGTTGTAGGGATAGGACAAGGGGGAATGGCTTTAAAATAGAAGAGGGTAGGTTTAGACCAGATATAAGGAAGAAATTCTTCCTTACAGAATTTCTGGAAATCCTTGGAAGTGTTCAGGGCCAGGCTGGATGGGGCTTTGGGCAGCCAGGTACCCTTCCAGGGAAGAGTAGCAAGGCCACAGTGGGTCTCAGCTCTAACAAGCTGTCTCCACAAAGGAAAACAAAATAGTCAATACTCTGAGCATCTTGATGCAATCTGTTTCAAATTAGCTCTGTTAAAAGACAGCAACTCTGGGCCCCACTTTGTTCCATTTCACAGCTCTGCTGTTTTCAGGACACGAGCTCACATCATGCCTTACAATACACTGTGCCACCTACACATGCTAGATTTTCAGCTTCTGTGCTAGACCTTTCAGCTTGGTGTTTTGGTGCACAGCACAGACTCTGTAGTCTAGCAGAGTTGAAGGAACAGAGTCTCGGGTCCTATCTTTGGGTCCTGACTCCTGGGAACCAAATAGCAAGACAACATTCCCTCTCATAGGCCACACTCTTCACACAGTTAAAATATAACAGGACAAAACATAATACACGCAAACATATGTCTCCTCAGTCAAGTCCCTGCACTGTGGGGTTACAGCCACCAAAAATATATTAACAGCTAATGAGCAGCAGAGACAAAAGACTTCGCCATATAGAGCTGGTTTCTCATCTGCACATAATCTAAATTCAGCATAACTGAGGACAGCTTGAGTTGGCAATTAGCTGTAAGCAGTCTTTCAGTTCACACAGTACTGGGCTGTTCCCCCATTCTAATTTAGAGCAGCACTTATGCTTTTCTGTCCTGGCTCACTGAAATTTGAGCTTGAATTGGCATATTCAAGCCTGGTCTCTAGTGAAAAATAGCAGTAACTGCCTGTGGCAGTTCTGTATGACTAGCAAGTGTAAAGGCTGCTACTTACTTTAATCTTCTGGATCTTGGTGCTGTTTTGGGCTGGAGATTCATCTGGTGGCATTAGACAAGCATATAGGGCCAATCCATCCTCTTGCCAGGCCTGCTGTAGCCCTACCACCTGAAACGGAGCTTTGGGTCCACCTTTAATTTTCACAGGAGGCACCTGTAAATCCATTTGAACATAATTTCATTTTTAGATGGTTGTATTTAGAGACTGAAGGTAACCCCTTATCTTGCTCTGTTGCTTTTGAGTAGTCACATAATATACAATAACCCAGGGAGCACTCTCACTTGATTAGTGGATTAGCTATGGTTTAGCCACTAGAAAAATCAATAAAGACCAAATTAAATAGGAATTACATGTAGGTTTTGATAAGTCATAGGATTTATTTTCTCAGTGAGGACTCTCGTGACTTGCAAGCTCTGACTTCCACCAGTTTCACTAAGTGAAAGCAAGAACCTACATTTGTTCTTTAGTCCAGCAAGAAATGAGAACCGAGTCCCTGTCAACACTGCCCATTCGTGGCACTGCATGCTGCCTTTGTCAATGATAATGAAATCAGTCCGATCTCGGTTCAAAAAACAGTGCTCAGTGATTATGCCATTCTGAGGAGCTATTGCAGGCATCTTTAATAAGACTTCATCTTCCCTATTAGGGATCTCTAAAAGGCAGAACCCCATCAATCTCTGTTCAGTGAATCCACCTTGTAGTTAGACTTGAGGTGATTTCTTTCTGACAGATTTTTTTATGTGTGGGAGGCATTCTATCTGCCAATATACATATCTGATCCAAAACAAGGAGGATAAAAAGGGACTTGTGCCAACCTCAAGATAAACACTGGGCATCTTTTATTGTGAGCATCAGTTTTGTTCCAGAGACAGGATTCCAGGAGTAGAGACCACTTATTGGCTCACCAGGCTGCCCCAAATGAGGCTGAAACAGGACTGAGTTTCAGCAATGGAATACATGAGAAACCTTACCGTTGGGTAGAAAAAAGACAGAAAAGATATCCAAAACAGCCTGGGAAGACATCACAGCACTGCAAAGCATCCTGAAACTTGGGTAGCGGGTGAAAAGAGGGCAGAGGACCATCAGAAAGTCAGATACAAGCAACCAAAGCCACAAGAAAGAGCAGCAGCCATGTGAGGCAAAGATCCCTGACCCAGATTGTGTACTAGATGAAGAGTACAGGCAAGTTTGAATTACAGGACTGTAATTCCTTCCCAGGGTTCTGGTGAATACTGAAACCACTTAAGCCTTGTTCTCATGGTTTACACTGTCACCGTGATCTCTAGATAGATTAATAGCTCTGCTATTCACTGCATACATAAAACAAAGCTATTTACAGTGAGATAAATGCCTTTAAAAATATATTCTCAACACAAGGCGCGAGTGCATTTTCAAACTGTGGAATTGGTCAATTGTATCACTCAAAATAGCACTACCAAGTCCTTGACTGCCTTGAATACTGGTTTCGCATGGGACTTTCTGTAGTAGTTCTGCTACTGGAGAATGCTGTCATCTTTACCACATTCTCCACTAGTAGAAATCAGCATATCTTCAAGGAAGTCAATAAAGACATGCTGATTTACATAAGCCAGGAAGCCAGTGATTCAGTGGAATTACACAGATGATCAGCAGATGAGAATTTGGTCTAAAATGCTTCAACTTTTCTTTCGTTACAGAAACACAGACGTTTTCATTGCTATCCAGCAGCTGTTTGGGAACCTGTCTGAAATCAGTTTGTGGCTTTTACTCCGATTTTCATTGGACATAAAGTCCATCACAACATTTGACCTTCTTAATAGAGGCAACGCTGAACCCTGGAAGCTGAGATGCCCTTTCAGGCTTGAAGAGAGCTGCTGCAAGTCAGAGCTCAGGCATTTTAAGTGGGAGTAAAGGGAAGAAACCTCACACTGCAGCTGTTCATGAGCTAACTATTTTCCGAATGGAAGATTCAGACTCTGGGGTTGTTCAAGTGGCAATTTTCATTAGCACCGAACTAACATTAAGGAATGTTGGCAATGTTTTAATGGAAGCACGAACATCATTAACAATTAATACTGTTTAAGTGGAGTTTAAGTGATTTAAAAGCCTTGTGCATGCTGTCCACTCACGGTGAAATTTACGTTGAGCACATGGATAGGTATGCCAACATCTTTAACAAGGGAAGATAAGAAGGCCAAAATGCAGGGTGGGGGGAAAGAAAAAATACTTCCCATTTTTCTTAGAGGAAAAGGGTAGCATCAGATGAATGGGAAGAGTGAAGGTTTCTTTAGAGGGGAAAAGGTGTGATCGGAAGGACAACTAAGACAAAACAGACCAGCACTTGTTCATTGCCCTCTGGGCTATCAGAAAGGATTTGTACTTAAATAGAAGTGTCGAGACAAGTGAAAGGATGGAAATGTCTCCATTTTGCTGTGGATGAAATATAATACTTAGCCCTCTGCTTTCACTGATCACTTTTGATTACTTTGAGTCTGCCTCGCTATTTTTTAAAATTAATTAATTTATTTTTACTTTCTCTGCTGTGCTCTTTGTAAACTACAGGCATAATCCAGCAAAACTTGCATTTAAAGACAAGGTAGGACACAATTTCCCCTCCGTTTAACCACTGTTCTGTAGCTGTTGGAAGAAAGCAATTTTGAGAACCTATTCACTAGAGGGAAAAGCACACCCTTAATCATGCAGAACCTTCTTTTGTGCAGTCACTGCACATACTCACCAGAGACAGAAGCCACGTCACAAGGGCATTGTAGATGTCGGCTGCTCTCAGCTCTACGTTAGGCACCTGCCCACTGCACTGATCTGTAGATATCTGGCCACAACTTGACAGCCGAATTGTCATAAGCAGCACCTCATTTTTCATAGGGGCCGATCTAGGTAATGTGTCAATATCTGGCAAATAAGAGGCTTCCTGTCCAAAAAAAAAAAAAAGTCATTTGGATTACTGGAACAGTGTTCATCATCACGAATGAATTATATTCATTGCCATCATAGGAGGAACAATTAATATCTAGTGAGCATTTATCAGAGAGGAAGTGGGAGCCAAAAAAGCGAGGTCATTATATCAGTGACACATTCTGGAGCACTTCAGTTTTTCTTGGAGAGCTGTCACCTGGGTCTTCATTTAGCCTAATACTGCTCGGTAAATGGAAGATTACGTGGTTACAGCTGGATATAGCATGATAAGATTTACTCTGTATTCTTTAGGATTTGGCACTATTTCTTTTAAAAATCAGTGAACGCCTTCAAGGCAAGCATGGCAGAAGTGTCAAAACTTTCATCATTTTCTGCTTCATCTACATACCTCATTCACAGATGATGATACATTCAAGTGAATTCATTGCCTGTCTTTTACTTTAGCATTGATACTTGGTTATTTAGGATGCAATCCATCTCCTTGAGGAGACCTGTTCTTTAACAAAGAGCCCCAACCTTGAATTGTGGGATTATAGTTTAAGGGATCTCTTGTTTCTCCAAAGATGCAATAACTGTAATTATTAGCTGGCTTGCTATTCCTACCTATGTTCAGCCTGCTGCCCCTGACATTTCTCCTGTAAATTAGGAAACTAGTCCCTAAAATCACAAAGATTATCCAGTACACATGAATATTGTTCCTCGACAGGTATGATCCTTGAATAAGGACCTTAAGGCCCGCACCCCCAAGGCATGCTGAGAGCATGTATTCTACAAGCTTCGACACACATTCATTTACAAGTAGCTGGAGCTGTTTATGGTGGTGTTATTTCCAAGCTACTAGTTACAGCATCAGATGAAGGCTATGCTCACCACTTCAGAGTCAGCAAAGTGCAACAAGACTGCATTTCCTGTGAACGTCAGTGCATCAGTGCAATCAGCCAGCAGACTACACTGCTAATTAAGGTGGGCAAAATTAATCTGAAGTGACCTACTGTAGTACGAGCCTAGCAGGCTCCCCTTTCTGTGAGCTGAGCTGTGGGAACACAGGAGGAGCACAATGAGAACAGAAGGGTGTTGAGGAGCAGCTGGGCAGTTGTTTCCAGTTGCTCCAAGTAGCCCTTAATGAGGATGTCTGCCCATGCCTTTACACTGAATTAACCTTAATTTGATTTACCTGGATGTACTTTGGAAGAAAAATCAGCTAAATCCAATTAAAGCCACTTTAATTCTGAATTAAAACGTTCACAAAGGTGTTTAATGACTAATCCATTTGACAAGTTAATGTAGCTTGACTTTTGTGCCTGTCCTCAAAACACAGGATTCCTTAAAATGCTTTTCAAAAAAACCCACCCATAAATACAAAGCCACAAGCAGATCTACTGTGTTGCCCAGTTATTTTACTGCTAAGGTAGTTGCCAACAAGCACCAGATAAAAAGTGCCATTAGTAATAAAGGAAAAAATAATCATGCAAAATCTTCTGATGCTGCAGATCTGTAATACTGATGTTACTGTAGTCCTAGGGAGCTAACATGGCTTTGACACTACCATCATAATTCTACAAGGAAGAGGCCTGAAAAGAAACTTGGAGATTTTCAGAATAATATGACCTCCTGTAGCCTGTTTGGAGATGTGATTCTTTCTTCCTCTCTCAGCAACCGTATGGGGAGTGCAATCAATGACTGGAGGTAACTCAAGAGCTAAAGATTAAACCAGGATCTATTCTTTAAGCAGGAAATTTCAAACTTTTGCAGATCTACTTGGCCCAGTGGCATGGGAGGGCTCAGTAAGTTTTCTGACCAAGCTCAGATAAGAATTTCACTTCTCCACTTGTTAAGGTTCTTCCTGAGAGCGAATGAGGGTTTGAATATTGCTCTTTGCCCTTTTCTTCCTCTGTCAGCCTCCTTACCCAACAAAGATCTAGGCAAAGAACTTAACTAATTGCAGAAATACTAAGACTAATTAACAAAAAAATGAAAAGGAGCTAATTCTGTTTAATTCCAGGCAATACCTGCTGAAGTCAGCTACATTCAGTGCTTTCTTAGTACGCCTTTGCTCAGCATTGTCCAATTTACCTAGTCTACCTATGAAGAGATTCCAATTTCCCTACATGTTACACTGACTTTTGTGACAGTATTAGATTGTAAAAAGATAAAAATGACTGAAATCCTGAGCTATTTTTGGTTGCTCTGGCTAGAATTGTGCTGTCAATCACAGACAGGCTTGCAGCTGATTGTACTCAAGTACCAGCAATTACCATAGAGTAAATAAGATAAAATTTCCTATTTCCAAAGTGCTTGCTATTTTATTTTGCAATTATAGTTTACAACACTGCAGCTTACAACCCTTCAGCTTGATTTTCCATCCACCCTTCCACACCCAGTTCTGGCCACAATTCTCTACTGTGACACAACAACAGTGCAAGCAGAAGCATTGGGCACACTGAGCAGCCAAGGAAGAACACATCTAGAGGTCATGTTAAATAGATATTAAAAAAATAAATTAAATAACCTACCCCCAAATCCACACTGAAAAGAAAGGAGGAGAAATTAATTGCAAGATGCCTTATGGATATCTATGCCTTCTAGCTTTCAGCTAAAAAAAAAAAAAAGGCAATTCAAAGGGATCTGCACAGATCTGCTTTTTTTTTTTTTTTTTTTTTTTTTTAAATCAGAGCTGTTTATAATCACAGCAAGCTGAAGCTTAGTGGATACAAGTTTGTCAGCCAAGACTAATGTCATTTTGTTTCTAATAAAATAGCTCTAATTGGTTAAATGATGCTTTTGTTGATGGTTTCTGAAAAGACTAGTTGGCATTGCTTTTACTACGCCCGCACACCGCATTGGACAAACAGCTCTGTTGCCCTAGAACTCGGAAAGATTATCAAAGCTGTTAGAGGCTGGAACGACAGAGCAGCAGCTCAGGAGCCAAGGGGGCCAGCTAAGAACTTTGCTGCTGGCTCCCAGCTAGGTATAAGGCCGATGGCAAGTGAAAGTGATTGCCATCCAACTGCTGTTTGAAAAACACTCTACATTATGCATTTGGAAAGTTCCTATCACTGCACGGATCCAAGAAAGCAGTCAGTATTTCTCATCAGAATCAGCTCACCCAGGCTGAGGGTTACCTCCCAGGGGAAGGGTAGGTCAAGGAGAAGCAAACTTTTTACAGGTACAGCCTCACTTTTGCAAATAAAGACAACTTTAGCATTTTCCTTCTAGCAGTTTTTTTTTCCCAATACAAACTAAACTGATGCTAATGCTAAAGAAGGCATCATGTTCAATCAAAATAAACTCTCTACTATGCTGAGCAGACTCTATAGCATGGAGAGCTAAATGAAAGCATCCTGCTGCATGTGAAACATATAAGTTATACTTACTGAGTCTCCTCCTTCTTTACTGGAGGAGGTGAATGAGGGGGAAGGGGAGGAATAGGAAGAATCTTCCTCTCATTGGCTGAAGGCTTAATCAAAATAATTGTTTTCAGCCATGTCTAAATTTATCCTCCTATGTCATCCGCACCCTAGCTTGGATCGCAGATTTCAGAGGCAATCCCTGATGAATGGCAAATTACTGACTGCAGAAATCTTCTGCCAAATGATGCATCTGCTGTACGTTTGTAAATGTGAACTGATTTCTAGGTACTTTAGCAGCTCTAGCTAATTTCTCTAATGAAAATTCTATACTCTCATGCTGAAATAGCTCTAGCATTGCATGTTCATGCTTCGCTAGAGGCACAGCTCACAGTACAAAACACAAGCATGCTGATTATGTGGTGATACATCTATTTTCCATGCAGTCATGTTGCTAATGTAGGACAGTAGATAGTTGGGATACATTTAACATTTGTGCCCCTCTCTCCAAACCAAAGCAGATAACGCTTTCATGGCTTCTAAAAATTCTTGCATTAGATGAAGCCATATTGGAAATGTCAAGTGTTTGTTCATTTTCATTCTGTAGGGAAGGAAAAATGATGACAATGCCATCTGCTAGATTATCTGAAATTCCACATTAGATGGTGGAATAAACCGTGAAACTATTCAAAGAACTGCTTTATCATTGCAAAGTGGGAGAACAGATAAGAATGCGGAAAGTATCTGCATTTCCTGTACGCAACTGGCAGAACATACTGTAATTAGAAAGGCAACATTTCATAATAAAAAGGAGAGTATGATTGATGTTAATGGTCTGAATGGTCTTTCTGTTAATGCATTTTTGTACTAGATTCACTCTATATAGCACGAATGGCTTTCTGAATATCAAACGTGCTGAGGTTATGGACCTGAAAAATATAATGGTAGCAAGATATTATTGAATTTTTTTTTTTTTTGATTTGAACTGAGCTTCAGATTGCTAAAATGGAAGAGGTACAATCCTCCAAAGCAGAAAACTCTCCCAGAGTAAGATTGCAGGAACTCAAAGACCTGAGAAACAGAATCATTATTTGTTATGATCTTGGTAGTTCTCCAGATAACCTCACACAATATGTAGCGCCCTAAGTTAAAAAAAATAAAGAAAAATTCTTTGCTGAAAATTCTTTTAATGTTCTGGACCATTATTCTTAATCTTTGGCATGAAGAATATAATTTCTTCTGATTCAGAAGGAGACACCTATCCATCCTTGGCATCATGGAGGTGCTAAAGCTAGCCAGCACCTCTGCTGGAGCACAAAGAAGGTAAGTGTCAGAGTGAAATGTCAGCTCACCACCAGCATTTACTGAGCATAGGAATGCAGTTCAGAGATGACACAGAGGAAGAAACTGAGCTCTGCATGGCTCAGAAACCAAGGACAGGAAAATTCACTTTGTACACCTTTTCTTCTTGCTGCCACCCCAGCATCGTCAACCCCAAATGCAATCTAAAGTAGCTTTATATCCACCACAGCTCTGGCAGTCAGTCAGTGATAGGCAGGATCAGTTACATTTCTGGGTCAGGATGTGTCATTGTTCTACAACAATCTCTTTTCATCCTATCTCATCCTATATTCCCTATAAGGGATTT